TGTGGGCAAAACACAAGGATAAATCTTTCTCGCATTTCACCCACAAAATATACAGTCAATTCACTTTACAGTATATTCTGTGACTGTGCTTTGTGACATCTCAACGACATGTTAAGGTGCTATATCAAATGCAAGGATTATTATTAACAATATAATAATATTAATAATATCAATAAAAATAATGCTCAGCTAATCATGGAAACCTATCGTAACCTTTAACAAAAGAATGACTTTCTGTAAGCTCACATTGCTTTCCACTTATTTTCTATTTTGTTCTCTCATGGATGGTATCTCCTCCACCATGACAAATTTTCTGTACTAATTTATTTCAAGTTCCCACCTGACAGAAATAACACCCTGCCCTCACACACATAAATATGTATTTCTAGTTTTTGTGTTTTTTTGCCGTAACTTAATTATTTTAGCCTTTACCTTAAAACATGATGTTTATCTTCTGCCAAAGTGCATTAATAATAAAAATCATAATAATAAAAGTCAAGAGGACTGGTAGAATATTGTCTTTCAGATCTACAACAACAACAACAACAACAAGATTCCATTTATAAAGCGCCTTTCACGTCAGGAGGACGTCCCAAGGCGCTGCACAATTGGGTCATGACCCGAGCAGGGGGGAAATGGTCAGGGTGAGGGGAGGGAAGGGAGGGAGAGAGGAGGGGGGAAGTGGTCAGGGTGAGGGGAGGGAAGGGGGGAGCGAGGAGGGGAAGAGAGTCGAGAGGGGAGCTGAAGGCACGGTCAAAGAGAAAGGTTTTGAGACCGGCCTTGAAGGAGGAAAGGGAGGAAGCGGCGAAGGCACTGGGGGATGGAGTTCCAGAGCCTGGGGGCTGAGAGGCTGAAGGCCCGGCCACCGATGGTAGGGCGGTTGGGGCGGGGGACGTGGAGCAGATCAGAGCCAGAGGTTGGACAGGTAGGAGGGAGCGAGGCCGTGAATGGCCTTGTAGGTGAGGATGAGGATCTTGAAATCAATCCTCTGGGGGATGGGGAGCTAGCCAGGGTTAAGGAGATATAAATGAAGGTGGTTCTCAAATCTTAATTTGTGTGTGGGAACACACCTGCCCTCTCATTTTGGTGAGCAATTTGTTGAAGCTCCAGTACACCAGGTCACCATCTTCTTTTGTGTTTTCCAAGTATAGTATTTACATTCAGTTTCTTTTTATGAACAGCAAGTCATGCACCAACAGCAACTGAGCTTTGTGGTCAGAGTCATTAATGGTTCAAAGTCTAGCATGTGGATGAAACTAAAAGAGCGACATCCAATTTAATTATGGTAGATAGTTCCAAATCCTGATTGGTGTCTATTTGCCCTAAACACAAGCAGCATACACAGCCCTGTTAGGGTGTCCCATCTGTTTCTAAAACCAAACATCATCATTTTAATGAGGGCTTTAGTCATGCCCTGTTTATCATTTCTCAGGGGATTATTTTTTTTTGCATTGACAGTTGCATACGCAGTCTTTACACATGTTCTTACATCTGCTGAGGCCCATTTCATTGCTTTAATCTATTATTCAATACACTTCTTAATTATACACAGTAATGTAAATGTTGTTCAATGCAAAGAGCTGTCTTTTTTTTCCCCCTTCCCTATTGTGTGGGAAAAAAAAAGTTGAGATTCATCAAGGCACAATTTTTGAAATGGTTTCCTAATAACCTTTCAAACAATGAAGTTATAAAAACAGACTCGTTGAAATTCTCCTATTGTCACCAAATTAATTTAGAAGCCTTCACCCATGAAGGAATCACAGTATACCTGCTTGCTTCTCTTTTGTCATTTAAACCAATTTTTCTCATATGTGTCTATTTGTTTGTTTCTATTAGCATTCTGTAGTCCTGTAGCTCAGTGGTTAGAGCACTCGCCTCACAAGCGAGAGCTGGGTTCGATTTCCGGCAGGGCGAAATGTTGGGCAAGTTTCCTTACTCCACACGCCTCTGTTTACCTAGCGGCACCTAGGAAGCTGGTTGTTGGTCGATTGGTGGATCGCATATAATTCTTTCAAAAAAAATACTAATACTAATAATAAATTGGTCACTCAATCCACGACTGTTTGTGGGACACTGCTGTGCGCAATTGGCTGCCACATTTCGCCCACAAGTATAAAGTCAAATCACTTTATAGTATATTCTGTGAAGCGCTTTGAGACAGCTAGAAGATGTAAAAAGCACTATATCAAATGAAAGGATTATTATTAACATTATTATTATAATTATTATTATTATCCATTGTCATGTCAGTTGGTACTTGTTTTTCTCTCTTGCAATGGTCCTATCATCCTGCTTGGCAGGTATCAATCACTTTTACCTGAAATCACTCTGGTTTGTTTCAATAATAGTCTTTGTTTTTTTGCAACTTGTGCAGCACTACATGACTTTATGTGCAGCTTATTGATGAGTACTCGAAAGAACTGTTGATGTCAGACCAGACAGCCTGGCTTCTCCACAGGATGTTGAGGAACAGAAAAATCACTGTGGGCTTTTCCCACTTACCTCTTGTTAACCCAGCACTCTAAAGTCCTAATGGGTAGCTATGAATAGTTTCACAGAATATACTGTAAAGTGAATTGACTTTGTACATGTGGGCGAAACGCAGCAGCCAATTGCGCACAGCAGTGTCCCACAAGCTATAAGGAGTGGGTATTGATCTCATTTATGAGTGGGAAGAACCCTTGTCCACCATGATTTGGGTGACAGCCTGGCTCAGTGGTAGCTAGTGCCTCTGAGTCAGAAAGTTGTGAGTTCAACTCCCCATCCTAGGACTTGGAATCACACCGTCTAAGCTGACTCTCCAATGCAGCGTTGGGGGTTGTGTTGCATTGTTGGATGTGCCATCCTTCAGATGAGACATTAAACTGAGGTCCCGTCTGCCAGTTCAGGTGGACGTTAGAGATCTCATGGCACTATTTGAAAAGAGAAGGGATTTTCTCCTAGTGTCTTCGCCAACAATCTGCTCCCCGACAATTGGTCACTCACTTCATTGCTGTTCGTGGGATATTGCTGCTTCGTTTTGCTCACAAAATACACAGTCACTCCACTTTACAGTATATCCTGTGAAGCACTTTGAGACGTCTCAACGACTTGATAAGGCGCCATAACAAATGCAAGGATTATCATAATTATTATTTACAGTTTGAAACTAGTGATCAGAAGAGAAGGTGAATTCCAGTTTGAGCACAGTTTAGAAACTGCGGAATAAGAGGACAGGAAGATGGGAATTTTGGTTGGGTACAACCTGAGGCAGCTGTATTGGAAGCACATAAACATATTTGATTCAAGGTGTAACTCGGAACACAGAAACACTGAGAAATTAAACCGAGTTATCACTGGGAAAGGATGCTTCATCGATCCTGATATTTTACTCATTTAATAAAAGCAAATCTTATTGTGTTTACTTTCTGATAATGAATATGTTTATATCACATCAGTTCTGAAGATTTGCTGTATCATTAGCTCATGCTACAGCTAATCTGAATCTCAGTAACGTGGAAAATTGTTCTGTCTAATTGATCTGCCAATATGTGACCGTCACACTTGGTTACGTGCAAAGTGAATAGATGCAGTTTCTTCAGAACCTCTCATTGCTGCTGTATGGTTTCATGAAGGCTAGTAATGCCCTATGTTCTGCAGTTGCTTAAGGACTATTGTGTGACTTTTGGCACAGAGGAAGGTCAACATTTATCATTGCAGGTACAAAAGTAATATCGTCTGAGATTAAGTCACACTTACCGTTCACCATCTCACTGTAAAATTGTCATTTATCCAAAGCGATCATCATCTGTTCAAGCAAATTTTACTGGGAGGATGCTGATCAGGAAGCTCTTGCCCTAAGCACACTCCATATTTCAGCAACCAGAGTCGAGCAAATCTATCAAGATGGCATAAGCCTTTCCTATCTTTGACATAAGCCATATTTTCCAGATTTTTGGTAGAAGAACAAGCATAACTCACAGAGCTTTGTGATCTTTGTAAGTGAGCCCACTCCCAAGGGAATCCTAATATCACTCTTCACTCAACAGGCACCAGCATACTTCATGTCCCCCGCCTTACCCAGCCCATCACTAGCAGTCAGGCTTTCAGCCTATCAGTCCCCCCTCTTTGAAACTCCATCCTGAAGTCCTTCCAACTTGCTCCTTCCCTCACTTGGCCAAAGTCCTTCCTCTTTGATCACACCTTCGGTCGACTTTACCCTCACCAGTCCCTCAGCTCCCACTCCCAGCTTGGGTGCCAAGGCAACCCTGGAATGCCCTGCCAATTTGAAAGGTGCTGTATTTAAATATAAGAGAGAGGACCTTGGTTCGATTCCCGGCAGGTTGCAACATTGAGCAAGTCTCTTTACTCCACACGCCTCTGTTTACCTAGCAAGTAAGTAGGAACCCGATTGGTAGATCACTTTTCTGGGGGTAATAATCCCTTTAAAAAAAAGGTCACTCAATGCACCACTGTTTGTGGGACACTACTGTGCGAGATTGGCTACTGCATTTCGCCTACAAAATATACAGTCAATTCACTCTACAGTGTATTCTGCAAAGTGATTTGAAACGTCTCGAAGACATGATAAGCCGCCACATTAAATGCAAGGATTATTGTTATATAAATTTGTATACTATTGTAGCATTGTAAGTCACTGAAGAGTTGATGAAATTGTAGGCATAAGGGAGAAATCCCATTTGGGTACACAGATTTTGGCAAATAATTAAATTCAGACTTAATTTTGGAACCGTTTCACTGAGGTTCACATCCCCTTTTCTGCAAGATTCCTTTCAACACAGAAAAACAACTTCATAATTAAAACAATATAAGAATTTGCTAAATTTTGTAAGCGATGAAATGCAAAGGCGACAGTGTATGCAGCACATTTCCTCAATGTTTGCTTTTTGTATGCCAGCTCATCAGTTATTCTACACATATATACTGTACATAGCAGGCCTGTGAGATATGAGGTTTACTGCGGCAATTTGACTTCTCGTTTTGTTCCATTTATCTTTCAGAGCATGGATTTTACTGGAGTGCCATCGGTCCCATTAATGATTGGGTGTGGAATTGCCTGTATGGCACTGTTGACATTGCTTGCTGTCTATGCGGCCTTTTGGAGGTATTCACTTAAATGTAAAACCATTAATCACCAACCACAAGATAGTCATGTCATCCATTAGATGAATAGAACAAGAACGGTGGAATACTAATTCAAGTGTGACATGTTGACTATCCAGAGGTGACTGCAGTTTGTCATCCTCAAAAAAGAGCACTTCTTGAAAAATCATTTAAAGAGGGTAAGAACATCAAAGATAGAGCGTGCCATTTCTCCTCACTAATAATTCAGTATTTATCCCTACCCAATTCTGTCAGGCTCAACAGCTCATTGCCCATTGGGCTCAAACTCGAACCAATTCTCGGGATTCAATGAGTCAGAAATTCCTCGTGTAATTAAGTTTAGCAACTCGAAAATTTGTACCACTATAGGCTGAATGATCCATTCAACAAAGCCAGATAATGTGACACGGAATTGCAGAGCTACGCAGTCCAGCAATATAGCAAAACAGTGTCGCTGTGCAATGTAGTCAAATCTCTTCAGTGTCTTTGTCTGTGAGTAAAAGTGGAGGAGGATCCATATTGTGAATAGTTTATTGCTTATTGCAGAACTGAAATTTGAAATCCCAGATTTAATTTAATTTAAATTAATTTTAAAAAATTAATTTGCCTCATAGAAAAGCCCCACGGAGCCCAATGCACATCCTGCCTTTATAGAAGAACAATAGCAGAATTATCTTAATTCAACCTGCCTTGCGAACCCTGGATTGTTCTTTGGGTCCAGGGAATCCAATTATGCCAAAATGTCATCGTTGCGAGAGAAAAGATTATATCTGATTAATCCTGGAATAGCGAATGCTGATGGTTCAGCTTAATTTTTAAAAAGAATTTCCAACATCATGAATTTTTACCTAACCTATTTGCGTATCATTAGTGCATTCATTCATGTGAGGTAAGCATTAGATTATGGATTTGTGAGTGGGATGTGTTTCTGTAAGTGCTGATTTACTGCGAACTTGAATATTACGTACACATGAATGTTAAACAGTTGTATGAATATTAAGCTAATTAAGATAGATTGAGCTTTATCCTTCAATTTGACATCACGCAAAGAACTCTCAGAAGGATTTTTTTTACATCAATGAAAGAAAATCATTGTCTCCTTGTTGGACATCATCTTTGACGTTGCTTCTTATTCTGTATCTCAGTGCTGCAGTCACACAATGGTATTCTGTTAAAGATATAAATTTCTCTGAACATTTGTGAATATTTTATTGCTCCTGAGGTAGGGAGTAACTGTAATCCATCTATTCCTATTGAGTTTGTCGAAATTATGATCCGAATACTCAGGCTGGGATTTTGCTACTGCCGGGAGTTGTTACTATATTCCTCTGGGAGATATTTGATTATTCTTCACCAGAAGTATGGAACAGCAGAAGTATAACCTGCAGAATTGCATAACAGTCTAAAACTCCCATCTTACATTATATACTGAACAAATAAAATCCACTTAGCCAAATACACTTAGTTGAACAATCCACTGATACAATTTTTAAAAATATTTTGACCTACAGACATGTCCATGTATTTGACCCATCACACTTTAATCTCCTTAGCCACTCAGAGAAAATTAAACATGCCTTCTGATCTGTCTGAACCTCACGATGCACCACACTGAGAGATAAGAATTCAGAATTCATTCATTTAGGACCAATAGTTCTTTTTTGTGTCAATCCTTAATTCTATTTTTGTCACACTCTTTGTGGGACATTTCACATTCTGCAACACAAATACAGAAATAGAGGTCTGTACTGAGCGAGTGCAATCAGGAGGAACTCGACCTTCATTCATATCATTGGAAATTGCTCGATTGTATAACCTGTTTGACTGAACTGAACCGGTTTTATATACTGCAGGTATGTCACATCACTTACAATTTTTGTTTCAAAATCCTGTTTCCACAGGTTCATCAAATCTGAGCGTTCTGTTATTCTACTGAATTTTTGCCTCTCTATTATGGCGTCAAACATTCTGATTTTGGTGGGACAGACACAGGTACATAGCAAGGTAAGAGCAAAGTGGTCTCTGGTATCTGTTGCTTTGACATACAGTCTCATTCAACATCATTTGTTTATGACAAGCATTTATCCTAATATACCTTCAGAGGATATTTACCCGCCTGTTCAGCAAAGCATGTTATAATCCAGGGTATAGGATTAAAAAAAGCAAATGAATCGTGTGTTGGGTTAAGGATTAGAAGTGTCTGTTTCAGAAGTCGAACGGATTCTGGTTCATCCAACCACTGTCTTATGTGCAAGTGATATTCAACTGATAACCAATGAACTATGTATAAATGTATTCAGAAATACATTCAGAAAGTTTGTGCCATCCTTAATAGCAACAAAACAAAGTGCTCTCGGTGTTTAGCGTTGTGCAGAATTACTGTGTTATGTTTTCTCTCTGTGCTACATGGGAAATGGCCTCTGGGGAGAGGAATCTGCAGCTGCTTCTTACGACGTTACGACTAACATTGAATTCCACTCTTCTAATTGTCAGAACGGCCTTTATATCAGCACCCTTAGGTTAGCTCAGTTTTTCTGCACCCCTAGGATCAAGTAGAAAGCAATCTAACTATGAATTTGGGATTAGTTCTTGTGAAGCGAGTGGCTTCCAAATACATTTCTTAATAGATGTGAAACCCACCTTTTAAATTTACCTAAACTAAAGAAATTTGCAAGAGGCCCAGATATCAGATCAAACTGATGCACAACAGTTCTGTCTCGACTGCAAATTTGAAGTTTTTACCTGCAGGCTAAAAGCTGCAAGAAGAAAGAAAACCACAACAACTTGCATTTACGTAGCGCCTTTCATGTTGGGCAGTGTCTCAGAACCCATGAAAAGGATCACGAAATAGGACATTTCACACCAGGACTTCAGCACAAGTTCACTCCTGTTGAAATCCATTTCAAAGCAGCACCTCTGAATGGCAGGTGTGAATTGCAAGATGCCTCTGTGGTTCAATCATGGACACATTGTCACTGAGAAATTGGCATCTTTAGAATAACACAGTTGCATCAGAATGGGTGGGAGAGGAGCAGATAACAGGCTTCAACAGAGCTGATGTGTAATGAAGCATGAGAGGATGGAGCAGATTGATTCTCTTCCAGCTATTCTATAAATAGACACCATTAAACTTTTTTCCCTTTTATTTTTTTCACAAGGTCAGGCTTGGACGAAGTCCTTTGGCCCATTTAAATCTTATCTTTCCAGAATGCCTACTGTATTGTCTTCCTACTGAAATATTAATCCATTCTTAGTTGAGTCCAGGTCCTGAACACCACGTTTCTCAAAAATCTGTTCTAGCTGCCAAACTTACTCTGTGTAAAGAAATATTTCCTGGCCCTTCACAACTGTGATGCTGTGTCCTCTTGCTCAGTTTGTTGTTTTTGTTATTTTAAAAGTACAATCACTGATATAAAACAGTTCCCAAAGCTTAGTCTTGTGCTACGTTTCAGACACTTTAGAGCTCGCGTATAAAAGTGGTGGACAGTATGTTGGAATAGAACCTTGATCTTGTTTCACTTCACTAACTTTTGGTCTCGCCCACGTCACTACGACGAAGCAATGAACAACAACAACAAGATTCCATTTATAGAGCGCCTTTCACGTCGGGAGGACGTCCCAAGGCGTTGTACAGTTGGGTCAGGACCCGAGCAGGGGGAAATGGCCAGGGTGAGGGGAGGGAAGGGAGGGAGCGAGGAGGGGGTAGAGAGTCGAGAACGGTCAAAGAGAAAGGTCTTGAGACCGGCCTTGAAGGAGGAAAGGGAGGAAGCGGCGAAGGCACTGGGGGATGGAGTTCCAGAGCCTCGGGGCTGAGAGGCTGAAGGCCCGACCACCGATGGTAGGGCGGTTGGGGCGGGGGATGTGGAGCAGACCGGAGCCAGAGGAACGGAGGGTACGGGCAGGTAGGTAGGGGGATAGTAGGTCGGAGAGGGAGCAAGGCCGTGAATGGCCTTGTAGGTGAGGATGAGGATCTTGAAATCAATCCTCTGGGGGATGGGGAGCCAGTGGAGGTGAGCGAGGGTGGGAGTGATGTGGTCCCGAAGCCTGGTGCGGGACAGTACACGAGCTGCAGAGTTCTGAATGACCTGCAGTGTGGAGGGAGGGCCGGGAAGGCCGGCGAGGAGAGAGTTCCCATAGTCCAGCCTTGAGGTGATAAAGGTGTGGACCAGAGTTTCAGCCGCGTGAGGGGTGAGGTAGTGCCCGTAGTCTGGCGATGTTCCGGAGGTGATGGAAGGCGGTGCCAGTTGTGGCGCGGATATGAGGAAGAAAGGACAGCTCAGGGTCGAACAGAACACCGAGGTTCCTGATGGCTTTGAGAGGTGGAGAGTGCAGCCTTGGATGCTGAAAGCAGAATCCAGCTGACTTCACAGAAGAGAAAAACAGCAGGGGATGCCTCCCCGTGCTGGTCTTCCATACAACAACAACAAAATTACATTTGTATAGCGCCTTTCACGTTAGGAGGACATCCCAATGCGCTGGACAGACAGAGTTACGGACCCGAGCTGAGGGTCGGGTTGGGGGAGGAGGGAGGGCAGGGGGGATGCAGGGAGATCGAAAGCCCCGGTCAAAGAGGAGGGTCGTGAGGTGAGTCATGAAGGTGGTGAGGGCAGGGGCGAGCGATGGAGGGACTGCGGGATGGAATTCCAGATGGTGGATGCAGAGTGGCGGAAGGCCCGCCCGCCGATAGTAGGGCGAGCAAGGCGGGGAACGTGAAGCAGGCCGGAGCCCGCTGAGTGGAGGTTGGCAGGGGGTTAGAAGGTTGTAGAGGTAGGGGGGAGCAAGACCATGGAGGGCTTTGAAGGTGAGGACCAGGATCTTCACCTGTATCCTATATGTGATGCGAAGCCAGTGGAGTTGGGCAAGGATGGGGGTGATAGGGTCACAGAGCCTAGTGCGGGAGAGGACATGGGCTGCAGAGTTCTGGATGATCTGCAGCCTGTGGAGGGAGGAGTTGGAGAGGCCAACACGCAGTGAGTTTGCATAGTTGAGCCTTGATGTAATGAGGGTTTCGGCGGCCTGCAGCAGCCCCAAGTGATCACCAGGTCTAGAGGATGACTGCGGACGTGGGTGGCGGAGTGGATGTGGAGGGAGAGATTGGGGGAAGAGATAAGGGTGGAAAAGTCAGCAGACGTAGAGTAGAACTCCCAGAGGTGGTATCATTGGCAGAGGGAACAGGCTAGGTGCAAAATGTAATGTTTAGGGGGAAAATAAAGATCATTTAAAATAAAACTCAAATGATATCTATAAGTTCCACCAAAGACAAGCTGGTAAACTAGGCAAAGAGAGGAGATGACATTTAATTTAGAAAAGTGTGACATCACGCATTTTGGAAGGAAGAGTCTCGGGAAAGCAAGTATTTGTTAAAATGTTAAAAGGAGTAGAAGATCAGAGATCGAATAGTTAACATGCAAACATTTTTGCAGGTGGACAAACCTGTGAAGCTAATGTGATCCTCGGTTTTATATTAGAATATAAAACCAAAATGGTGATGCTTAACCTTTATAATTTATAAATTGCTAGGTAGACTGCAGTTCTAGTAATGGGTCCGGTTTTGGCTAAACCTGCTTTAGGAAAGATTCCGGAGGTATTGAGAAGGTGCAGGGGAAATTCACTAGGATGTTACCAGGGATAAATAGTTTGATCTGTGAGTGTAGTTGTGAGAACTGAGCCTATTTTCATTGGAACAAAGGAGGTTGAAGGGAAACCTGATAGAAATATTTACAATTATTGGGGGAGGAGGTTGACCAAGTATATTGGAAGAAGTTATTTCTCCTGGTAAGTGTACTAGAGAGCATCAGTTTAAGATGATTAACAAGGGAGCAGCGCTGGAGACTGAGGATTTTTTTTTTTTTTTTACAGGGTTATTATGATGTGGAATGCCCTGGTGGATGCAATGGTTGAGGCAAAATCTTTATTAACTTTCAGAAAGGAACTTGATAGATATCAATTTGTTATGGGTTACAGATGAGTTGGAGTTAGAGAAAGGCAGTCAGAAAAGTTGTCATAGTACGGTATTATAGTGGCAATTTATCTACTGCTGGAGCAAGACTCTGGTTAGTAGCTCATTTGTATTTTGTGGGATGACCTGTTATCGCACTGTTTCTATATCAGTAATGGGCTGGTCCCATTTCATATGGATCAAAGGCTCCTTTTTGTTAAAGCAATTTTGAGATTCAGAAAATGGGATCTTTTACAAGCATTCAAAATAATGGAAGAGTTTGGGAGGATAAATGGACACAGATTATTTTGTGTTATTCAGTTTCCTATATTCCCATGATTGGCAAAATAAACAGTACAGTCTATCGGTTTAATAGGGCTATTTCCATCCTGCTATGATTGCTGGCATATCTTAGCTCTATTGCTCTCACTGAAAAATAAAATAACAATAATAATGATTCATCACATTTAGTGTAGCACCTTTCAAGTTGGGAGGATATCTAAAGTGCTTCACAAAATATATTGCAGATTGTAATGACTTTATACTTGCGGACAAATGCAATTTGTGCAGAGCAACGTCCGACAAATTGCCAAAAAGTGAATGACCAACTTTATTTGGGGGATTGTTGGCCAGGACAGAGTCTCTTTTGAAATATTGTCATGGGATCGTTAACATCCAGCAGAACATCCAGGCAAACGGCCCTCGGTTTATCATCCCATCCGCATTGTTGGAAGACGTCACTTCCAACAGTGCAGCATTCTCCCAGGCATGAGTGCTATCAACAGGAAGGTAGACATAAAACATGAAGGTAAGAAAGAAACTGGAGTAAGCAAGAGGGAAAATCAAAGTAGGAACAAAATAAAACACAGAAGGTGAATATTTCTGCACTGCTTTTATATTTCTCTAAGAATGAACTAAGAATGGATTCCACTGGGTCTCAATTTATTCTATTTATCTCGCATTTTAGTCCAAAATATGTGGATAATTTTTAAATACAGTTTTAATTTTGCATCCGGTTTTCTGCGAGTAATTTAAGAACTACAAAAAAACAACATCAAGGTTAAGGCTGAATTCAAAAATGTGCCAAATTCTAAAATGCCACGTAAATGAATAAATCTTCTGGAGCAATGTAGGATTTCCCATCAGTAGTTGGGGTCTGTCTTCACGGTGATATAAAATGCAGCCAAGGTTCGTTGCCCGCTGGCATGTTTTTGAGTGATGTTAGAGAAAGCAGAAATTCTGATTCTCAAGATCATGTACAGAATACTGTTTTGGCCTCCCACCTAATACATTCTGCAATCGCACAGAAACAGCTTCACAGATTGCCTAATTGTGAGGTATATTCAATGCAGTGGAGAAATAGTTGAAGCAGTATTGATATTCCTCTCTCGGATGGCTTCAGCAGGCTGTATAAATGTCATAAATGCAGTAATTACTGGAGAAACTGATAGCATCAAGTGTAGAAGATTAATGCTGCACCAACATTTTATCTATAATGGGCTGCCCGATATCAAACAACTTGCACCTTTGCTGTGGTGTTGTCTTTTACAGAATTGGACAAGACAGCACTTCTCATTTTCAAATCTCTTCTGTTTAAAAATTAATCAAACCGCAAAGCATGCAGAGTTTAAGCCCGAGCCTTCAACAATGTGGAAAGGCTGAAGTAGATTTGTTTGTAGACCATGTCAATTTGCATTCCCTAAAGGAATGTAGAAAATAATAACAATTTATCCCAATCACATCTTTATTCTATTGTGTTTAAGAGGATTGTGCTGCATTATAATAATTCCTAATAACAGGGCTGTGACATTACGTCTAATTCCATTTGCACTATTTTGAAATCTATGATGGGTGTATTTGCTGACCGTACGCAACTCTTGATTTCGTTTGTATTGCCGTTTCCTTGTTTAATTGTACAATAGTTATTTCAAGAGAAACTGCAGCGTTGCTAAGACAAAAGTGTACTGCAAGAAGCCACCAAGCAGTGAGGAAATGGGGGAAGGAGCCTTGTTTTAATATAGTTACACAACAATGAGGCTAGCTTGTCAAGAAATGTTCTGGCTGGAGAATCATCCAACATCTCATTAAATCTCATCAGCGCTGTGCTCTAAACAGAAACTGTTGTTAGATTTCTGAACCGAGCGGTTGTTTCTGGGTGAAATGTGGAGGTGCAGTGATTGCAGCAACTCAGCAAGTAAGTCAGGGAGATTTCTATTCTATTCGTAGCAGGATTTTGAATTGAAGTGTCACGATTTAGTTACAATGGGAAGGGATTTATAGGAATGTTCCACTCTAAACGATGGCAACGTTACATTTAAATTGTACACAATTAAATTTGAAGTAGAATGGAAAAAAAATCCCATTTTAAAAAGTAACAATTAATAAATATTATTATTATATTCACTTCTGTTCTTTGGGGAAGGTAATTTCAGGTTTAGTATTTATACATTCAAAATAGTAACTATTAATTTAGCATCAGTAACCTATTCCAAGTGGGTACAAGGGAGGAGTATTTGGTACAGTGTCATCCGCTTAACATAACAGACAGGTGCTAGATACAGGTAAATGCAACAACAACAACTTGGATTTATATAGCGCCCTCCACGCCGGACGGCGTCTCAGAGCGCTTTATAGTAACGGATCCCGGGACCGAGCCAGGGGAGGGGGAGGAAGGTGACCAAAGGCGCGATCGAAAAGAAAGGTCTTCAGCAGAGACCTGAAAATGGGAAGGGAGGGAGCGAGGAGAAGGGATGCAATTTGTTGTTGAATAACTAGACAAGAAACCTCCAGCATGGATTTAGAAAGGGAAACCATCTTGATGTATTTGATTTAACAGATAAAGTAGATATTTATGATCATTATGTCATTATTTTATACTAGCGACAAGAAAAAGATATAGTGTCTTGGGAATATCCTACTGACATGAAAGGCGCTATATAAATTCCATTTGTTGTTCTTTGTATCTTGTTGTTGTAGATAGTGGTGCTACCTATAATACTTTATCTAGACTTTTGGAAGCTCCACATAAAATATTTCTAATTAAACTGAAAGACTCAAATTATAACACAAGGCTACTTACACGACTGGTTGGAAATAGAAAAGAGAGAGATGACTTATGAAAGGTTTAATATCAGATGTAAAGTGCAGTCTCACATGGTCAGTGTTTGTATCTCTCCTGTTTCTCATATAAAATAGTGACATACTGTAATTATTATATATAATTAATCTAATTACTGAAAACCGATGTAAATTCAATGTGATTCATCTTTGAAATAATCTACCAAGCAAGTTAATAGAAAAACAAAGCAAGGGGTGTATCCAAAATATTGAAACCGACTTTGGGACCAGCAATATGAAAGCTTGCTAAGCGATGAGATCACCCCCAAAGAGTTCTTGGACTATACCTGAATAGGGATGCGGAGGCAGGGTGGTATAACAGCTGTTTCCTGACCTCCTGAGCTCCATCTTCCCGGGACCGGAACAGTGTTGGAGTCTCGAGACTCTGGACTGAGAGAAACAAAGGAAGCCGGCGATCTAGATGCATGTCTGGGCCAGACATGGCACAGATTCAGTGACACTTGGGTTCGTGACACTACTAGCACCCTGTCCGAAGGCCACCAAAGAGTGCCAGACTTGGATGCTGGGAGTGATGAAGGAGAAGAGTGGGAAACCACGAGTGAGAGTAGGACATAAAGGCGGTGGAGAAAGTTGACTGGAAACCCCACCCCCTCCAACTGTTATTAGAGTTGGTGATTGGGATCTCCCTACCTGGTAGCTGGAAGCCCAATGAGGCAGTGACCACCTCTGCATGTTCAGTTCTGTCTGACCTGGTGGACTATATGGATAGGGTACCACCATGATGGGTTAGGATACTGGAGGGATAACATTTGCTGGCAGATTAATCGTTCATCGTTCTGACTTTTCTCCTGTTCTTATTTCCATTTCCTTCCATAAACCCCAGAGTGAGGTTGACATGTGTCCTACAATGGCTCCATTGACTTTAATGAATGTTAGTGTTTGGAGCTGCCCTTAATGGGGCTGCTGATCAGGACCAGCTGGAGACTGCTCCACCCTTATCCTGTGGCATTCCTGGTCTGCTGGTTCGGGACTGGCCCACAGGCTAATCCGAAGCAGCATTCACACTGGAAATGTTAAACCCATTTTTCTTTTAAATACTAATTTACTTGGTGAGCATTTCCAGCATTTCTGTTTCAGGTTTTCTATCTCACGCCCTATGCTGTTGGTACCTAGTCACAGCTTCTCATTATTTTCTTTCAGTGAAAGTGCCTGGTTTCACGTAGTAAATGGCAATGTTTTTGCTTGTCGTTTCCTCCTAAGCCCTTTTGTTCTAGATATTCAGGGAGAATAGAAAGGTATCATAGAATCGTACAGCACAAAAAGAGGCCATTTGGCTCATCGAGTCTGTGCCGGCTCTTTGAAAAGAGCAATGTAATGTCAGTCCCACTCCCCAGGCCTTTCCCCATAACCTGCAAACCCGTCCTCCTCAAATACCCGTCCACCACGTTTTTAGAAGTTGTTATAGAATCGGCCTCGACCGCCCTTTCAGGCAATGCGTTCCAGGTTCGAACAACTCGCTGCATGAAAAAATTACTTCTCGCCTCCCCTCTGCTTCTTTTTTAGAGACTATTTTAAACCTGTCACCTTGAGTCACCGACACACCCACCAGTGGAAACAGTTTTTCCCTTTGTAACCTATCAAATCCCCTCATGATTTTGAAAATTTGGGAGGATGTAAAGAGTAGATGGAGACCTGTGCAGTATAAACATCGGCATGGATTAATGGGCCATACATCCATGCTGTACAGTGTATGTAAATAGAGGTAAATGATATATTCATCATAACAGTTGAGTAGCAATTTCTACACCTTGTATTCCTAGTAATCCTTCCCACATGGTATGTTTTTGAGCTATCCTTCGCCAAAAATTTGTTTGCTTATTGTGGAGCAAAATAAGTATGGTAATAGCTTTATGCAGGTTAAATGGTTTTGTATCAAAAGTAGCTCCTCCTGGTGGTTGAGCTAACCAGATGCAAATATCAGCTCTCTATCCGATTATATGTATGTAACGTGGAAGATTACAGAGAATCTGTACAAAGATCTTGCATAAAACATCATTTTGTTTTTTGTTGTTCAAGTTTAGATAAATGAACATGAGACAAATACCTAAGTCGAGCTCTGTTGTGGAAAACTATGCGGATAAATTGAAGTTACAATGCATCAATGCACCCTCGTCCATATAACCACACGATGAAGCCCTTGATATTCGTAGAATAAATGAAGTAGTGGTTGTCTTGGTTATTTCTGTTCATTGATTCCAAATTCATTGGAGTTTTTCTTGATACACTTAATGGCCATTCCTTGTTATTTCTGTTTCTAAAGCATTTCTGCTCTTCTACAGGGCGTGTGTATGATGACAGCAGCTCTACTGCATTTCTTTTTCCTCTCCTCTTTCTGTTGGGTGCTGACAGAGGCATGGCAGTCCTATCTTGCAGTGATGGGAAAAATTAGGACCAGGCTGATAAGGAAACGCTTTCTGTGTCTCGGCTGGGGTACGTGAATCTCATTTCTAAATATAAAATCATTCCGATGGTGACTCTCGGACACAAAGTACGAATGCAAATGCAACTGATCTTTGTTAACACAAAATATTATTACAAAGTTTGAGTTGTAACAAGATTCCTTTTCTTCGTATTCCTGATGGAAATTTATACAATACAATGCATTGTACGTCTATAGAGTGCCTTTCACGTAGGGAAGACATCTCAGAGCACTTACAGTCTGTCATAGTGACATGAGCCACCTGATTTCTCACCTCCCTTTCCAATATTCTTTTGATTGTAAGACTACAAGAATTGGGTTTTTCATTATATTGTCGCCTTCTCACACTTGAGAACCTAGAAATAAATATTTAACATGCACTGCTATAAAATAACAAGATAAAAATAAGTCAAATTGAGATCCCCAGTGATGTACCAACAAGCTGTAAATCTTGGTCTCCAACAGACAATTGACAATCCTATTAAGATAATATGGGGAAGATCCAATTTATACCAATTGAACTACTAGTAATACAGTTTGAAAAAATGCATTTGGTATATTGTTGATGTATGACTGGTGTATTCACCAATATATAGCAATACTTTACAAAACGTGTCAAAGGTTCCTTGGAGACAGAACATTTTTAATGCACCATGTTGTTCTCCACTTTGATTGCCATTTTGGGAAACTGAAATTTAATATCTGACAACAGAATGGACTTTCAACATCTGAATCCTAAGAGGATTTCCTGTCTTAAAGAAAAGATATAAAATACATTGAATACTGTATCTTGTGTCCTAAAAGCTACAAAACCAAACTGTTTATCAATTAAACAACACAGCAGATCAGACCTTCACTTATAAGTGAGGGAGGTGGTTTAACGAGGACATTAATGCAAATTTATTGTTTACTTAATACGGTACTTTAAAATGTATGTGACATTGTGCAGCTTTGTGAAGCCTGAGTGTGCAGGATTGACTGGTAAGGAAGTACCACTCACCTGGGTTCAAGGAAAGGTTTGCAGTCAGTTTCATTCAATAATCTAGAGCCAGTATTACAGCACAATTTAAGTCATCGATGTTGGATCAAAGCCATCGATAATTTTTGCCATTCACAACTAACGGAAATTGCTGTCCAAAGGCAGCGTTCTTATCCACAACCTATTCTGCGACCACACAAGTTTTCAGTCAAGCCACAAAATATATCTGTGTATCTATTCACTGTACATTAAGCCAAGTGCTGTGCTGTTTACACAGTATGACTACATAGTTTAATTTCACACCTTTGTAACATCATCAGGAATCCATATTGGAATTCCACTCTGGTCTACAGGATTAGGAGCAATTCTTCTCATGAATCAGGAAGTAACTAAACTTGAAGATAAAGGCTAGCCAATGGATGTAATTAACTTGGGTTTCCAAACCGGCATTGATGAGTTGCAGTGTAGTTAATTGGATTGAAAGCTGACTTAGAAATACTTTAGATAGCAGAAGAGTTGATAAATGGAAAAGACTTCCAGAATGTAGCATTCTAATGTATAAGGAGAGGTTTGCAGAGTTAAACATACTATCAGCGAAATTAAGAGTGAAAAGGGACCTTCAGGTGTGAGGGGGAAGGTAAGTGAGGTTACACTCCAAGGACAGGTTTGCAGCTAAGCTGACATGTGACAATGGATTCTCAGAATGAAGTCAATCTTCTGAGCTGGACTTGATAGTCTGGTTCCTGAGCCAACTGCAGAGCAGTCTGATAAAAGGCTTATTGACAGGATCTGGATGGGCAGACTAGTTGCTAGAAGTAGGGATTCTTCTAATATTCTCCAGAATTAGTTAAGCAGGGTATGTCCCTCCAGGGAAGGAGTCTGCACTCTATTGCAGAAACAGGGAAATGACCAGGTGTCGATATATATTTGTGGAACTCTCAGTTTAGTTTTAATACTTTGAAGCGTGATGATGGGTCAGACACCTGGGTGACCGAATAAGAGGGGACATGATCCAACTCTTAAAAATAATCAAAATGAAGGTGATCTAGACGTCAGCAGGAATTTTGACTCAGATGGTGAGACAGTAATCAAAGCCATACTTTATTCTTGTTTTGGATTGGTGCAAGGTGGTGTTTAATGTCTGGTGTACATATATCTGACAATATATGTGGATCTCCTGTTACTGGACTGAGAGCTCCAATGTCAATCATATGTTCTGTATAAGTGCATCAGTTTTAATCTACTTCTTAAAATAAAACAACATTTTTTTTATTTGTAATGTGGAAAACACTCTTCGTGTCAAGATATTTTCATTAAAACAAGGGGGCAGCATTAAAGAAGGTCAGGGGAGAAGTTTTAATTTAGTTTTGTCTGAAGACGTACTTCTTGCTTATCTTCCAGTCTGCTTTTTATGAAAAAAATCTATAAATGAAATGACTGAAAGTAGAATATTTCATTTTCTGTGTTTCCCCAAAGGGACATTGACAGAGTTTTTCATTGTATATCGCTTGAGTTATTAGATTTAAGCAATTGAACCTCATGCTGTGGGACGAGATGCATACAGGCACCAACGCTGAGCACACATTTATACCAATAACTATTCTGACATACCAGAAACCATGTTATTGTCTTGATATTATGCCCAAGGGGAAAGCAGGAATAACAAGTGTCTCCAAATGTTTTTTTTAATATAATGAAAAAGTACAAAGACATTTTCTATTATATTCAGCAATAAACTTTTGGCGGGGGAGGGGGCGGGGGAGTTGGTAAACAATTTGGGATGATACGGAACTGAAAGCATAATGGCTGCCCAGTTAAGTCATCTAAGACAGGGCAGTAGTTGGGAGGGGTGGGTGGGGGTCTTACAGTTGGCCTCAACACCATGAGTTCAAATTGGGGAAACCAACCAAACGAACCACGCCTTACTTTTTATTGCTATAGTTTGCTCTAAATCTCACATCTATGCTCATAATAATTATAAACTTCAATTAGCACCTTTCACATCATGTAATGGCTCAAAGCACTTTACAGAGGCACTGAGCTGGGAGAGTGGGGGAGAAAGGAGGTGATCGCAGGCAAAGTCAAAGAGGGTGGGTTTCAGGAGGTTTTTCAAGATAGTTAGACAGAGGGTGAGGAACACATAGCAGCCCTAGAGGAGGGGATGAGCAGGAAGGCGAGGCTGGAGAATGTTGGAAGGATCAAGGGCATGTGGGGATTTGTAGTAAGATTGAATATCGTGAAGTTGATCTGCTGGAAACAGGGAGATAATGAGGCTTTGTGAGGATAAGTGTGAAGGGAATGCAAAGCTTAGTATGAGTAAGTATGCAAGCAGCTGAATTTTGATTGAGCTGGAGTTTGTGAATGGCAGCCCTGGGGAGACTGTCAAGGATTGGAAAAGTAGAAGGAGGAAAACCGGAAATTAAATAAAGGTTTGGCAGGTGAGTTTCTCCAACAATCCTCCAGAAAAGAGAGTTTCTCCTGGTGTCCTGACCAACAACCCTCCAGACAAAATCATTACTATTTGTAGAACCTTGCTGAGTATAATCTAACTGTCCTGTTTGCCTACAGGAGCGGTCACAAGGGTTAACAGTGATTATTGTAGCAAAGCGCTTTGAGATGTTTCGATGTGATAAGGTGCTCTCAAGATGGAAATTGTTTCTGCAAATATTTCTTATTTTCTTTCTTCAGGTTTACCTGCCCTGATTGTGGCTATTTCAGTCGGTTTTACCAAAGCAAAAGGATATGGAACAGCAAATTAGTAAGCGTTTAGAAGTCTACTAGTAAGCGTTTAGAAGTCGGGCTCTTCATTTCTGCTATTTATCAATGAGCAGGACATTACAGACTTTATTAATACAAGGAAAATAACCAACAGTTCAACTTATATCAATTAAATATTTCTACTCTTTGGACGAAAAGTTTATCAGATTTAAATGCCCTGTCTCCTAAACTGGCAATATTGCCCCTTATCTTACCCAGGTTTTCACAGACCAATTTATCGACAACTTGTATTTATTCGTACAGGGTGGTGTTTCAGAGTGCTTAATGGCAATTAACTATTCTTATGTTACATGCAACCTGAAAGCTTAATGACATGAATGCTGGGGTATGTCGTCTAATGATTTAATTCACTCAAGGAGAGCAGTTTCTAAGCAGCTTTTAACTCCCCTAAATAGTAATAATTATATTAGGTGCTTTCAAATGGTATCAAGCAATCCTGTCCCATCTCACAGCTTTAGTATTTCAAACATTTGGATGACAGTGAGAAGAATGTAAGTGAGTAGCATTTGTTCTCCTGGCAAGAGAATACTTTGGAAGCGGGCCTGGCAACCCATTTGTTTTGATGGAGCATTTCCACTTACATTAGGAATACCATACAGGACCACCTCAGAAAAAGAATAGGGTATCAGCTTGCTGTTTCAATTGCAAATCGGTGGGTTGTGCAGGGGAACCAAAATAGTCAAATTGGATCTTCCAAAAATCTTAGATAATGTCGTGGCGTTGATCTCGATCTGATTTGAAATAACCGTGCTTCACTTTTTTGCTTTTGCTTTTTGCAGTTGTTGGCTATCTCTGGAAGGAGGTCTCCTTTATGCATTTGTTGGGCCGGCAGCAATCATTGTATTGGTAAATTTACTTTTCAATGTGGCATGAAATGTTGAATGCAGTTACAGAGAGCGTTACACTTGTGCATGCAATAATTTGTCGAAATTCAATACAGAATATTATTTGTATGAACTCCTTAGAGAGACTACTTTATTATTCAGCTGATGATTGAAATGCTTGTTTGCTTGTTCGTTTGAAGTAATCACGGGCTACTTTGCAGTATTTCCTAATAACTTGGAGTCTGCAGAGAATCCCTGCATAACTGTTTGTCACTCAGACCCACGGGAACACCATTTTGAAGTAGATCAGAGTTGTTATTAAAACGGATTACAAATTGGTGTAATTTAAATCCTTTTGTAATTTTTTGTGCTCGAAAATAGCCATTCTGACAATTCCTGCTAATGAAGAGATTTCCCGTTGATTCTCTTTGCCGCCCCCAAACCTGAGTAATACAAGTCAGGTGGTCAGAAGAGAATTAAAATACTGTCATTGTAAAAATTCTTCACAAAGACCAAAGACAAGATTGAGACCCAGGATATCTGTGGTCTGGGAAAGTAGCATTGCAGATTATCGAGACCGAATCATCATGAAATATAGCCCAAAGTAGTCTTTTAACTGCAGTCTTCCTTCCCATGACAAATGATTCTTTGAACACGATTGAAGACTTTGAACATGATTGAAGACTACTCTCACTGATTAGTACAAACTGAGAAGAGATATATTGCGAAATGACGTGGTCATTCACGTCATGGCCGTTTGCGGGACTTTACTGTGCACAAATTACTGCCACATCTGCCTACACAATACAGTCTTTATACTTAGTGCTTTGAGACCTTCTCCAAATGTGATGTGCTGTATCTAATGTAAGGTTAGATGTTTACAGTTCCTATGTTTTTAATTATTGTCTTAAGGGTTAAGATTGTGCAGCATTTTGGAAAATTCAACTTTAATTTGTAAACTGTTACTGCAGAAAACCAGCTTCCAGATTAAGACTAAATTTAAGATTTTCCAAAAATTCCTCGCAATTAATTTGCAAGCCTATGGTCTCATAACTTAAACGTGTGGCCTCCACAGGAATGATAGCAGATCTCTGCTGGATTGAGGACATGCTAACCTTTGGTTTTCTTTACAAGGTAATATGCTCATTGGCATTGTGGTGTTCAACAAGCTTATGTCCCGAGATGGAATTTCAGATAAGTCTAAAAAGCAGAGAGCGGGGTAGGTCCTGGCTTTTTGCTCCTCTACAACCTTTTTTTCTCTTCAGTTGAAAAGTTTATTACAAATGCTTGCCATTTCATTTGGTGAGTTATCACATCAGAAGTCAGAAATATCCACTTTCCTGCATTTGTCACTTCATTCGCACTGTATTATTGTTTGCTAATTGGTTCTCTCTTAGAATTCCATTTGATGAGTCCTGAATTATCAGGATTGAATCCCTAATCTGTCCCTAATTGATTTAAAGCCCACATTGAGATGTATTCCTATCTCCATTGTGACCCAACAGATTTATAATTAACTGATCCAAGGTTATTGCACATAGGAATCCTAATTGACTTCTTATTTTGATCCGTGGGTGATCTTCGCTGTGTGGCAAAGTATTGTGCTCTGATCTCAGGGTGAATAATCTGGCAAAATATGCCAGAAATCAATCAGTTGAATGTTGTTATTAGGACAAAATGTATACCTTCTCACAACAGAGCCATGTTGATTTATAGTCAGTCTTAGCATCTTGAAGTGCAATCAGAGAGATTGGAAGCACTAAGTAGGCTTTTGGCACTTAGACAGACTCTTTCCATAAGAACCAGAAGAAAACAAAGACTGTGATTGCAAACCTCAAGGAAAATGTAACCTTAACAGATATCAAGCTGTAAAGTTAGAAAATGAACTGACTTGTCCCAGACAGAGCGCTGTGAATACTGAAACATTCAAAAAAAAAGGAGTCACATTCCCAATTCAAAACTCTTTAGCAGTGTGGCCTCAAATCATTAGAATTGCCACCAATGACATACACACACACACGTTCAGCTTCATCATTATGCTTTGCCCTAAAGCAGGCTTGTGACAGCTATTGCGAATTGAGCAGCTTATCACGGTGTTTGCCGGAGTACAGTTTGCCGGATGCTAGCACAGCCCAGCAAGATTTAAATTAAAAAAAAGTTAAAAGCAGGTACTAACTGTCACCTCAATACTGTGAATCACTTTCTGGTTGAAAGCACATGGCTACCGTTGATGACACAGTGATGGAATTAGTGGTTGGGATCACACCTATGGCCATTCGTGTTATACAATGGGCTCAGTGATAATTGATAATTGATAGTTGATAATCACTTATCAACGATGTGATTACTATCACCTGGAATAATCCATCACAAGTACCAATTTTCACTCCATGAACCTCTGATATGTATAACAAATCTACAATATGAAAGTCTCCACAACATGTACCAAAAAAGTAATTGAATTCCCGGCAACAATGGTGTAAATAATACTGAATCCTGATGATGAAATGGGATCTTGCTGTACTTATAACAATAATAAATTGGCCAGATTCACCATAGAAATAAAAGACTGCATCAGAAACTTCCCCAGTGCAACAGACAAAGAGGAACTGGATCTGTGTGGCTTCAAGATATAACCTCCAATCTAATGAATTTAAACAAAAATCTTTCACAAATCCTATATCTCCTCTAGAATTAAAAGCAGAAATGCAGGATGGATGTCAGGCAGGTGGATATTTTAAGCCATTGAATGGCCTCATTTGCTGATAATCTTTGCTTTTAGCTTCCAGCAATGTAGTTGTTATTAATAAGGGTTACAGTGATAATTGAGAATGTATAATGTGCTCCAATTGTTTCTCAAAAGCACAATTAAGACCTGTTTTAATAGTCTTATCTGATATATTTGAAGACAAGTGTTTTTAATCCAACCTTTCCCATGTCAAATGATGATATGTAACATAATAACATGTTTGTGAAAGAGGTCTGTTGTGGATTTCACAACTATAAATTGGGGAATTCTAATAAAGGTCAAGTCATTAGTCTGAGGCCATGATGTGGTGATTATGACATTTGTTGTATTAACTGCTGATGAGAAAGAAGTGATAATCCATCATCATGTGAAGTAATTCCACAAGACTAGTAACTATTAACCATCCAGTTGAGGCAAAAATGAGCCAAGATTTGAGGATTATAAAAAAAGAGCTAAAACACTAACATTTCTCCCCACAATTATAGCAGGAAAAGAGTAATTATTACCATGCTATTTTTAACGTTGACAGATGAGAACTCGGTTTAATCTCATTAGAAAGACAGTACCTCAATACAATGTACCCCATCACTGCCATGTAGTGTCAGTCTCGTCTATCAGCTCAAAGTCCCGACATGGGGCTTGAACTAATAACTGCTGACCTTTTGAAATGGTGAGAAAACTACCGACTGAATCAAGCTGATGTCTGGATCTCTCATTGTAGGGTAGCGCAGACAGCAGCTACCGATCTCAAAATAATACTTAGGTCATAGATAGAGCCTCACCTCCCAGAGAGATAACACAGTCAGTGGAGCTTCTTCCAACTGATGTAATGTGTCACAGATCTCTGCTCCCGACAGGCTCCCAGGTAAACCACAGAGCTCCCTCCTGTACAGTCTGGCTAAAACGCAGCAGAATCTTAAAATAGTAGTGCGGAGCTGCTCTCTGCCCGAAGTATGCTGTTCACAAGAATATTGTAGTCCTGGACTCACAGGAAGGAATGATATAGTCCACACTAATATCTCTTTATTCAATACACATTTAATATAGCAGTAAATCAAAAGGACAACGTTAGATATACAGTATTTTGTTAGACCCAAAGTATATCAATAGTTTGGATTATTGTAATTAGCTCATATTCCCCTTATAACTTCAGATCATTTGCTTGACAAACTTATCCCAAACTGAGAAAAGCTCCCGAGAATAAATTCCATTTCTTCTGTCAAATCAACCTCCTGTTAAACAGCTTTTGTATAAGGAATTAATACATTGTTACACACGTATATAAATATTTGGCTTTCTGCCTTCTGCTGCCTTCATTCTTCGGCTCTGCATAGAATTAAGTACAGTGATATCCAGAAAGCTGACAGATTTATTGAAAGCAGAGGAAAGAACTCACAATGACCCAGAGTTTGACTACAATACCTGCTCATGATCCATGTTATGTGTGAACTTGGAATCTGATTGAAGGCCGGATCGGGCTCCAACTCCTCCTGACACTCACACAGATAGAATAGCCACTTGGGCAATGTTATGTTGCACTGTCTACAAGTACAAAGTGCAAAAAGTTGGGAGAGTGTTTCTTTAAAAAGTAGCAGCTGAAGCAAACCCCAGACAATGAACTGAATATCCAGACAATGCTGAAGACAGGAATAAGGCAGAACTGTAATTACTGATGTATAAGTTTCGATGCGCAAATGCCTTTTCAACTTAGAAATAGAATTGAGGGAGACAGTTGCAAAGGATTCCAACTTGCAAATGAAGGTCCGAACCAGTGACCTGGAAAATGATTTCTTTATTGCTTCTGTGATGGTGCACTGATTAATCATTTACCCCACTCCTCGCATTCTCAATACCTGCAAGCAAGTTACATCTCTGTTGCTTTTTCTCAACGGCTTGTTTTCTCTGCATTTAAACTGGAGTCTTTATTTGTCCTCATTTTTTGCTTTGCATTTGTTCCAAGTCAGGCAAGTGAAGCCCGTAGCGGTATGATGCTCAAATGTTCCAAGTGTGGAGTTGTTTCAACTACAGCATTATCTGCCACCACCACCAGTAATGCCATGTTAGTCTCATCCATTTGATCTTTAGCTCTTACAAGGGTAATGTGGAAAGAGAAAGTATCCCTTTTCTTCAGCCACCACAGAAATCTTCCTCCAATCAATTGAAATAAATATAATTTGAATTTGAATATTTTGAATTGGTAGCTGATTTGCAGTCTCTGTCACCCTCAAAACCTCTTTCCTTTCACATTTATCCCATTCCATCTCTAAACCTAATGTGAATTTCCTTAGAAATCATAGTATAGGGGAACCCTTTTATAGCACCTTTCAGTATAGCACTGCCTCACTTATACTTTATTCTAACCAGGAATATGGTACACCTTAGTTCACTCAGCAGCTAACTTTTCACGTTACAAAAAGGCTGATTTGACTACAGATGACACTTCTTGAGTACCCTCTGTGCAGGAAACACCTCTTTTGCCACTTGCTATACAGAAAGTACTACAGCTATCACTCTCTTGCTCTAATATGACACACCTATGCTCTGTAATTCCTACTTTTCTCACATATGAATTGATTTTGTATCAACAAAATCTCAGTGTCATCGATTGCTTTGATAGCATTCCTATTCTGCGATTATTCCCATTCTAATATTAGATGAACAGAGATTTCATATTCTTTCTCTTGTTTCTTAAACCGAAGGTGACCTGGCTTCTGTTGAAGGAACAGCTAGTCTGGTCAGAGATCTCTTGAGCTGCATTGACGTTGCTTTTGTTAGCACCCTGCTGCTTTTTGTCTCTGTAACGTGCGTTGCAAATATCACATCACTGGATCAAACAGCCTGCCCCGCAATGGAACCAGGCAGATCTGAACAATTCTGTCACCTTCAAAATCTTCACTTGTCTGAATACATTAGGACCAGTTTTCAAATCGGTATATTTCCTCATAGTGCTATTCACCTCTTCCCTTTGAATTAAACATCGAGTCAGCTATTTATTCTTCCCCTTGACTCAGATGTTGAATAATTAATTTCTTTTGATCCACATGTGATGTTAGTTACTCGCTTTGTATAGCAACCTCAAAGTGCATTTTAAGGTGCTTTCCTAAAGTGGTTGAGGATCTGTGTGTTGGGGTGGGGAAGGGTAGGGGGAGAAAGAAGAAAATTGGCTTCATGAACATCCCAAACACTCAACGTGATCTCAGTGATATTAAGGTCACAATAAAAGTTTTACACTAGGTCTTTACAATTTAAATACATGGTATTTCACAACTGAACTACTCAGTAAATTCCCTTCACTATCCAATGTTTTTTCCAGGGTTCATAAAACACAGGATAATTTTAGTGACTGACAAATTATAGGCCAGCAGCAGTGGCAATGCTAACAGCTCTTGTACTAATACAGGAGGTTTGAGCTTTAGGCACCAAACCTGCATGTCCGTCTAGTAAAGATCACTCACCTAAACAACCCTTCCTAAAACCACTGCTCCTATCAATCCTGTCTACTACTCCTATTGATCCTATCTAGGTTCCTGAGAGACTATGAAAATGCAGCAGCTATTTTGTAAAAAAATATATATTTTACTTTTCTTTTATGCATTTTCTTCAAATAGTCCATCTGTAAAATGTGCGACTTATGAGTCGTATATGCTGTTTTCATTGTTATTTGGTTTTCAGTGTATTTATTTCTCATGTCCCAATGAACCTGATGCACAGATTAGTGCAGGCCACACCAAAGGGATACTAGATCTTTATATTGTAGAAGTGCATGATGCGATGCTTCGGGAGCAGTTTATGATTTAATCTTCAGAACATCTCATATCTATTAACTCTGGTCAAATGTTCCACTGTGGATTTATTTTATTTTAGAGTTCTGTAAAATAATGCACTTTGTATGAATAATTTCTTTGTTTTATGCTTAATCTTGTCGGTGAAACGACAAACTGAACTGTAGATTTCTGGGGCAGTGATGAGCCAGTGGATTAATGCACTGTTTTTCACCTCAGTGATCTAGTTCGAATCCAGTCCTTACTGATGAGATGGAATTCTCCTCTCTCACTTGGCTGGAGGCTTTATGTGAAATGAGTTAAAGGCAGTCTTATGGATTGTGCTTTAAGACTGTGGATTGGGCTCCCCTATATCTGGCACTATTTGTCATTCTCACTTAATGGTAGTGAGTGTGGAGCATGGATTGTGATATTGGTATTGCAGTGGGGCTCCCCTATATTGCTGAGACAGAGCTTAACTCTGCAACTGGCTTTGTAGTATTTGATTAAGGAATGCCCAGTGCTTACACTAGGTGGCTGAAAAGAGGATATAAAATTATGCAGCACCAGCTTGTCTTGCCATATGTGCACACAAACCATTGCACCACTATTTATGCCCGTTCTAAATTAGGTATGGGATCTAGAAATGGATGCAACATATAATCAAGAGTTTTACAGCAATGATTTAATTTCCTTCATGCACCTTAAAGCAAGACTGACTGTTGTTCCTTTGTCTCACAGCCCTTTCATCCACTCAAACGGATGCTTGCATTTGAATGAAATCCACTAAGGAACAGCATGCGGTACAACATGAACTGTAGCGTAAAAGCAAAATAATTGTCAGCAATTAAAACACAACAACAGTACCCCTTTGGGCAGGTTGTCACAATGCCATTTTCAAAAGCATCTAAAATGAAAGGAAGCAAATTAGAAACAACTAAGTGAAGAATATTTGTTCAAAAGTAGAGGCTGCATAAAATATAAATTAAAAAAAGTGTTTCTTTTGTACTTCATCTGGTACTATCTCAAAACAAGTACCGTGTAAGAACTCCCCAAGCCAAGGCGCTCTTATTCCTACAGGTGTAACCTGTACAAACTTGTTCCATTCAATGCACGTCAAGCCTTTGAACCTGCCCTGCCAACCAGAATGTACTGAGACTGCCAAGTTGCTAATGTGCCTGGCCATTTGTGCTTAGGGAAAAAAAAAGTCTCTTGTCAGTGACTCCACTCCAACTGGTGGAACCTATTTTCATTGTCACTGAAAATGTTCTGATCATGTTCATTTTGAAAACTGTGGTCAAGCAAGAGAGAATGCTGGGCTTTCACCCTTAATACTTGTTTGCAATCCATGGCTCATTCATATGTGGAATGAGCTTGGGACAGTCTCAACCAGCACCTGATGGGTAAAACACATTGCCAAACCACCCTCCCATTGGCACTCAATTGACAGTTTCACTCCAGAGGTCACAAGGGTGGGAAATAGAAATATCAAATGATATTCTGATGTTAGGATTAAGAGATACAGTAGCATGATCTTTACTGTGCCCCCAGGTATTCTATACGTGACCTGGGGTTGCTTATCTGAGACTGAGCCAAATAGAAAAATATTCAAATTCTCAGCTACTTATGTTCACAAAGATAAACAAGAAAAAAATGTAAATTATTAAAATACCAATTAGACACAGAAGGGGACTGGCCACCTGGCAATCCTCTTAAGATCAGTTTGGCTACAGAACTAATTGTCATGCACATTGGATTTGCCGAAAATAAATCACAAAGGAAGCTGGAATTTAGTTGTTTGGAAGAATTCCTGAACCCAGCTTGAGTCGAGATTTAAAACACACATTCAAAGTAACAGTATCTTTGAAATAGTTCATCTTCCTCATCGTTCAAGCTCAGTTATTCCTCCCAGTCAGATGACCCCACCGATTCCACTGTTCAATACTTCTTTTTTTAAAAAAATTTGACAAAAAGATAAAGAGTTGTTAAATCAGTAACTTTTTCGAAAGGTTTAGTGTGTTTGAGGGTGCTGATGGCAAGACTCAGTCTTTTAAAAACATTTAGTTGCAAGTTCGATGATGCACTGTTCAAAAACATTTAAGCAAAACCCCTTTAACTCCATGTCAGCCTCAGTGATGATCTTCCATAGGCACCATAATGACATTTGGCCTCTTCAGGATAAGTGCACAATGAAACATTCCTCGCTGTAATGCTGTAACTCCTTACGCAACCTGCAGTGTCACAAATACAATGGTAATTTTACAAGTTTGAGACACTGCTGCTGTTTCTGGGGACTTTTCGAGACTGCAGTGCAAACAACATATTCTCTTTTAGATTTTTTTAAATGTGACCTTATAAAATGTGGTGGAGCTGACAAAAATAGTGATGCTATTTACTACTCCCTATTGTGTTGCTGATTGCGGTGTGGTGCACATATAGAAAGACATAGTTTTGTTTTAGAATTCTTTTAGAATTAGGCAATTAAGGGCCTGACTCTAAAAAAAAACAGTTTAGACACCCGATGAATAACCTCTTCAAACGCTTCTAATTCCAGCCGCGCAGGCGGTTGGTTGTCTGTGCTTAAGCAAATTCATCTTACTTAGGATTTTAATCAGGCTGCCATTCTTTTCTATCCCCCCAGGGCTTCCCTGTGGAGTTCGTGTGTCGTGCTACCACTCCTGGCACTGACCTGGATGTCAGCTGTTCTTGCAATGACCGACAGGCGATCGATTTTGTTTCAAATACTGTTTGCCGTTTTTGACTCTGTTCAAGGATTTGTTATTATCACAGTTCACTGCTTCCTGAGGAGAGAGGTACGTGTAGTCACACAATACAAACTACTGTTCGGCAAATCAACAGCCCTGAGGGTGGACTTCCACTCTTCGCATCAAAGAAAGGAACATCAATTCCAGAATAGTGGTAGAAGTGAATATGTTTACAAAGTGGTTATGGAGCAAGCCTGGCAGCATTGGTGAAGCAATGAGCATCAACATGTGAAATAAGCAATGAAATAATAAATAATGCAACAAAATAATGACACAGATGCAAGATATGAACCCGCAGGGAGAGAAGAAAGAGTTCCCCCTTGTTCTCCCAATTTCCACCCCTACATCTCAGTTCACACTTCTAAAGATTCATTGGAAAAGGCCCAATGAAAGATAAAATATTAATTTTAGCCTCACTTCCTACAAGTCTTATACAATTTTTAATGTTGTGTTGATGTTAATTAATTGTTTACTGTTAGAGACCCAACACCCAGGAGGAATTTGAAAGTGGTGACCAAACGTTTCTTTTTCTACGCTGTCTAATTTTCTCCACGTCTCCTCCTCCTCCTTAAAACTTTGTTGGATTACGGTGTAGTCTTGTCCAAACATGAGCCTGAACAAAGAGTCGACAGGAATCATAGCTAAGCCCAATCACGTCCTCAATAATCTTTGCTCAGACAAAGAAAGCAAACTAAAGTGGTAACATCAAGTGATTTTTTTCCTCTTTCCTGGTCCAGGCACCATGAGGTCACTGAAAGTTTGAAAGCTTGTTATAAGAGCAGATCACCGCACTGCGTGAAACACTGACAGTGGGAGTGAAGAAGCTCTGATTCCCCGACTCCACTTGAGCTTGTTATATCAGACAAGTTTTGTAAGAATGTGCTGAGCACAAATTATGTGTCTCACCGTGGAAGGAGAGAGAACGTCAGGGCGAAAGTCTTCCTGACACAAATTTAGCTTCCCCGGAGGCTGACTCAATGCGAAGGCCAGCTTTTCCGTCTGCCCTCAATTGTATGTGGAACTTAAAACTGAACACAATACCGCAGTCTAACTAATAATTTATGGAGGTTAAAGATCACCTCTTTAGTTTTACACACTATGTCCCTATTTACAAACTTTATAAAACCATCAGTATTTTTTTTGCAAATTTGTCCACCTGCTCTACAACTCCTTTTTTTTAATTTTTTAGTGATTCAACAATGAAAAAAATTGGAGTTTCTTTAATTATATAACTAAAGGTCACATGTAATTGCCTCTGCACCAATGTATTTACACATGGTTAGCACAATCTGCAAATTAGACCCTACTGGCTCTAGATATGTCACTCACGTGCTTTCCAGTTTCGTACAGTAAAGTAGGTCAAGCTATTCCCACGAGACAGCAGAAAAGAGCAGAATAACATAAATGGATAAAGGCTGATGGATGGAGAAAGAAATATAGTCACACTGAGGCACAGAGTGAGATGCACAGAGAAAACGTGAATCACAGCAGTGAATAGAGAGAGAGAGATACACATTAGAGGTGAATAATAATAATTATAATAATCCTTGCATTTGATATGGTGCCTTATCACCAGAAAACAGAGCAAAGAGTGAGATACAGTTCATGGCAGACTCTAAAGAGCAGGTGGGGGGGGCGGAGAGAAATCAAAAATAAGAGTTTTATACTTATAGCATCTTTCATGTCAGGAGGACAACTCACTGCCTTCACAGAATCAACCGGTAGCCCGAGCTGGGATAGAGGAGAGCTTAAGATGGAGGGGGGGAAAGAGGTGACCAAATGCACAGTTGAAAAGATCTTAAGATGGGCTATAAATATGTAGAGGGAGAGGGTAAGGCAAGGGCACTCCACAATAGAGCTTCAGAGACAGGGGGCAGAATGTCTGAATGCCAGTCCTTTGATGGTGGGGTGTCAAGGCCAAGGACATGGAGCAGGCCAGTGTTCGCTGAGCGGAGGGAGTGAGTGGGACAGAGCTGTTAAGTGATGAGACACACGCATACACACACAAACAGAGTCAGTGGGGGGAGAGGAATTGAGATAGAGAGACACAGCTTGGATTTCCTATTTAAAGCCATTTTGGCATTTGTGTTTTAGATTCAGGATGTTGTAAAATGTCGAACAGGAAGCTGCAAAACTGAAGAGAATGAAAACTCACCGGATTCATACAAAAACGGACAGGTTCAGATCATGGTGAGTAAAGAATGAATTCGCAGGAACACAATAAAGAAAATGAACTGAATGAGCCACCTTAAGCCTGAGTGGAGTGGAGTCCTGTAGCTCAGTGGTTAGAGCACTCGCTTTGCAAGTGAGAGACCTGAGTTCAATTCCAGGCAGAGGGTGAAACCTTGGGCAAGTTTCCTTACTCCACACAGAGCCTAATAATAATCCCTCCAAAACCAAAAACAATAATAAATTGGTCATTTTCGATCTACAACTGTTTGTGGGACATTGCTGTGTGCAATTGGCTGCCGCGTTCGCCCACAAATATACAGTCAATTCACTTTACAGTGTGTTCTGTGAAGCGCTTTGGGACGTCCTCCCGACGTGAAAAGCGCTATATCAAATGCAAGGATTATTATTATTATATTATTATTAAGCCACACTGGTAACGTAAAACTGCCTGACATCTATATGGCTTGTGTGTGTCTCGGTGTGTTATCTCCTGTTATGAACAATACATACATTTTCAGGGGTATGGAGAAAGGGACTGAATGGGTAGCTCTTCCAAAAAGCCGGACCAGGCACAATGGGCTGAATGGCCTCCCTCTGTGCTGTAATACTCTATGATACTCCATCAAAGAGAACAGTTCAGTCTCACCTGTTACTATATGGTTTATGGAGTGTTTAAGAAGCATCGGCTCTCTGGGTCCTGTTCAACAACAATAACAAAATTACATTTGTAGAGCACCTTTCACATCGGGAGAACATCCCAAGGCGCTGGACAGTCAGTGCTTCAGACCCGAGCTGAATAAAAGGAAACTCGTCACTCTCTGTTCTGTAGGGCTGTGTTCCATGTGCACCGCACTTTTAGTGGATCAATTGCTACTATTCTAGGGCTCCTCCTCTTCCACTCCATCTCCTGTAGTTAATGTGTGAAACCTGAAGTGGCTCCTCCATTCAGTAGGCACATTGCACATGTCATCAGCTGCTGTTCCCATTAAAATGTTGAGAACAACAGTGGAGAGCTCCACACAGCTGGAACACAGATCATGTTCCAATTCAGACATTTATCTACCCAGAGTCTCAGAGCCTGCCAGAGCACCTGTGCTTCAGACAATGATTCCTTTCTCTAACAAGCCCGTCTCTAATTTTATTGCTATTTTATTTCTCTGCTGCCTTCTTGTAGACAGATTTTGAAAAAGATGTGGATCTCGCCTGCCAGTCAGGTAAGACCGATTTCAGATCTGTGAGACATGATGACTAAATGTTGCTAAACCTTCTAATTACTGTAATTAATTTGTTTGCTCTGGGATCAAAATAGATTAACTCCTTGTTTCCCGGGGAAGCCAGTAGATAATATGAGAGTGATTATTTACATCCACAGTAATGAGATTACAGCTGTTAGGATAGAGGCCCCACTGGATATTGCAAACCCGCTGGAAATAGACCCGCTCCAATAAGCAATCCTAGCCCTGACCTCCTCAGTAGACCTAGCACTAACCTTCTCAGCAATTCCCCCATCGCCTCAACCGCCCATTAACAAATCAGCTTCTCCCCAGCCCTCACTTACACAAACTGATGAAGTTACTGATTTATAAGTAGGACAAGAGGAGGCAGTGTGATGAATTCCTCAGAAATCCCTGTGCATTGTGTTAACACATAGATTATGATGTTCAGTGAACGTTCTTTGAGTTGAGACCCTGCATCGTGTCTCACCCTCGGGGATTCTGAGTTCAGAGTCGTTTTTGGTGCCAATTTCAATGAATCTTTTCCCACTGAAAGTGCAAACTTGTCACAAATGGTAAGCTTTAAAGAACTGGAACGTCACAAAAGATTACCAAAACAGCAGCATCACCAAATGTTGAAATGGTCTGTGCAGGGAATATAGCCTACAACAGTGAATAAATAGCATTGCTGCTGAATGAGTCAAATCCAGATGAGGACAGTTAACTGATGTACTGAAAGCGAAGGACTGAAATGTGCTGAGAATAGATATTTGGGGAGGACAAATTTGCATAGTTATGGGGAGAGCGCGGGGGGGAGTGGGATTAATTTGAATAGCTCTTTCAAGAGCTCTTTCACGGGCACGATGGGCCGAATTGCCTCCTTCTGTGCTGTATAATCCTATGATCCTATGAATTGACAACCCTTTCATTTTCTCTCCCCAGTACTCTTCAAAGAGGTGAACACTTGTAATCCCGCGACCATCACGGGAACGTTGTCTCGGATCTCCTTGGACGATGAGGAAGACAGAAAACTGAACACAAACAGCGAAGGGTTGAACTTCTCAACGCTTCCGGGAAACATCCCCCCAGGGAACGTGCTGACTATGCCGTATCCCACCATGCACCAGATGCACAACCTGATTTCCGGGTTGAACGAACTGAACGAGCAGACTGCCAAAAAGGAAAACAACAGCAGCGACATGAGGGGCAAGCTGTACCTGTGCACAGAGAACAACCTGAGGCCGGTGGACGTGATGTGGAGCCGGGCTCAGGAGCAACCATTGGAGAGTGACTATATGGTGCTCCCAAGGCGCACGGTCAGTTTGAAACCTTTCAGGAAAGAGGAGGGCAAATTGAACATCAATGTGGACGATACTCGGCACAACATCGTCGGGACCCACCCAAGCGAGCCGGAGGTGTACCCCAACTTTGTCTCAGTCGATCACATCAATTTGAACTTAAACCAGCCTTACGGAACGCTCAAGCAACCACGCGGTTTACCTTTCAAGCAGCACCCTTCGGTCAGGCATATTTTGGCGTCCGAATATGCCAACAGGAGCCGGACCATGCCACGCAGTGAGCCAGGGTCATCGAACTCCATGGGCTCCTTAGAAGTAAGTTGCCGTTGATTATGTAGCGTTGTCTTCTCAACCTGCCTGGTGAGTAATGCAGAGGTCACGTTTGGGAGATTTCATATTGGGAGTGGCTCATATTGTACTTAGCAGTACTTGAACTCTGAACCAGTTTCCACTAAGAATTTAATATTGCTGCCCTTTTTTTTGTTGAATTGGCCTAAGACATGTACCTGGCATTTGCTTTAGATGTCCCACAATCAATTTAAGGTTTTTTAAGATCCAAGTCAAAGCAGCCCTCAAATATAATTCATTGTCAATCTTTGAGCCTCCACCGGCAAGAGAGGCTTGTAATTAATTGCTGACAGTTACATTGAGTCTGTAAGAATCTTCAGTGACCGGTTACCTCCTTCTGAACTCAGATGACTTGACCATCTCCATCCTTTATTGGTCATTCATCTCCTGGCTCTTACTGTAAATGGCTGCTGTCTTTGCCGAGAAAAGCAGTCACTGCATTTGACAGTTTTTGCTTGTGAAATGCCTTGAGATATGGCAACATATTAAAATGTTATAAAAATAAAAGTTATTTTTACTCCTAGGCATTTGGGGACTTTGTCCTGACTTCTACAGAAGCTCCCTGCTGGTTATTCCTTCCCATCTATGCTTTCATTACTTATTTCTCTTATTGTGCCAGAATCAATTATCTTTTTGTAATTTTACCCCCATTTTCTTTTTCCTGATCCTGAATATGTGACTTATTATCAGTCAAATAATATTTACATTCATAGGATCATCGGAACAGGAGTAAGATATCCGGCCCATCAAGCCTGTCTGACCACTTTTGAAGATCCTGGCCAATCCACAACTCAATTTCACCTCCCTGCTCTCCCTCCATATCCCTTGATAATAATAATAATAATATTAATCCTTACATTTGACATAGCACCTTATCATGTCTTCTAGACATCTCAAAGGGCTTCACAGAACATACCATAAAGTGAATTGACTGTATATTTGTGGGCGAAACAGATATAAATATATGGATATCAAATGGAAAAAGATATTCTACATTTATTGTCGAGTGTAGTCTGTCAAACATATATCTATTTGCTTTTGAAATTCTTCAAATGACTGCTCCACTGCCCTCTGGGAGAGTGAATTTCACACTCCCAACACCCACTCATAAAAAAAATGCTTCTTCATTTCACTTCTAATCCAATCATCTGACCAAAGGCAGGTTCATCAGCTGACCATCATTCTGTGAAAACACCCTTGTGTCATCCAGTTGAACGAGAGTATGAAAAGTGGCCTTACTCCACAGCCAGTGGCATTGCTGACCCAGGTCGCAAGCCTGAAAGCTTTTATTGTTCACAGGACCTACTCCAACAACAACAAATTATGTTTGTACAGCGCCTTTCACGTCAGGAGGACATCCCAAGGCGCTGGGCAGTAAGTGATCCGCACCCAAGCTGGTGGCTGGGATCAGGAGGGGTGGAGGGCGGGGAGGGTAGGGGTAGGAGGGTCACTGAACACACGGTCGAAAAGGAGGGTCTTGAGAAAGCAGGAAGTTTGCTCGACTGTCTTCACAATAACAAGTTATTTGGGTTTAGCTGGTTAAACTCCAATTAGTACCCCAATGGGAGGGGACGATGAAGATGAAAGGAAGGAGGATGATAACATGGATTATCTAAAATCTACAAGTCTTGCTCAGACCTCAAAAACCGGTTGGATAAAACTAATTTGAGTCGAACATTATGATTATTTCCTGCTTGGAAGCTTTGTCCAGATTCACTCCAGTGGAACTCCCTCCCTCAACACCCCCTTTACTTATCTTTAAATTCCCTCCTCTCTGACCTCCACAAACCCTACCAATGTAGCCTTTCCCTTCACTCACTGGGCCTGCTCCGTGTTCCCAGCCATCCCCAGGCGGGTGCAGTCCCACCAAGATAGATAAGGGAGGGGAGGCATTGGTGCCCAAATAGCTTTAGGTTATAAGCTGTATGCTGCTGTAAATCACACAGAAGAGAAGCTTCAAACTAAGCCATGAAATTGCAAATTGACATTCAATTGGCTGAATTGCTGAGTCCTGTAGCGTAGTGGTTAGAGCGCTGGCTTCACATGACAAAAATGATCCATTATATCAGCAATAAGTGGGACTCATTCCTTGTGTGTTGTCCATCTGTGATCCAGATATGGCATTGTTGCAGCTCATAAGATAAAACAAATATTGTGGCGATGTTCTTGGAGACAAAACCTACCTGAGAATTGCTGAATAAATATCCCTAGCAAGTGCTCTTGTACATCACAAAAGCCGGGTTCAGATTGTATTGTCAGAGCCTTGCTCTGTCACTTGAATTGTAGATTGGTGTGAGGAAACCTAAAGTTAATAAAGGAAATTCAGTTCACATTGGGAGTGATCTGTAAACCGTGCATTCAGAACATGCCTCTCTAAAGCTTTTATTTGAACTAATTTTATTTCTTTGTTACTTTCACAGAGGAGACGATTGAGGTACTCCGATCTTGACTTTGAGGTATTTATCATACATTTATTGAAGTCAGTAAAATGCTGTCACTGATTTATGTCAAAAAATTGCAAGGTAATAACTGTGAGACTGTATAAGTTACAATGCTCTAGTTCAATACTGGGGCTGTAGAGGAATGACAAGACTGTCATTCTGTCAGGAGTGTCGAAGAAAATATTAAATCATAAGGACACAGACCATATTATACACCTCTGAGTCATTAATTCTCTCTAAAGTATCAGTGCTGAGCAATGTGAAACAAAACACTTGAAATGTATACAAATAAAGCTGCGTTACTGCAGGGGCAGTTTGTGTGTTTGTGGGCTTCATATCACAGTGACCACCCAGAAAGAGGAAACAGGTAATCTTGATGTCGAAAGTGCAAGGAAACCTTTCATTATTCCACAATAGTTTGGTATGTACAGAATTTGAAATGAACAGAACTTAACAATAATCCTTGCATTTGATGTAGCACCTTTCCCTTCGAGTGGACATCTCACAGTGCTTCAGAAGATTTACTGTATAGTCTGGTGGCTGTATATTTTGTAGGTGAATGCCCTAATCGGTTAAGATTCTGATAACTTCCTCCATATTCCCTTTCATATACACAATCTCATCATCTCTTACTGACAGAAGCGGAGGAATCCATCACTGGTTATTAATATTAAATGGCCTTTGTCATGGTCCAGGGTAATATTTTGTTTGATAGCAGTGTGAAATATTGCCACCTAAGCATTCCATCCTCCAAGCTTGGCTGCTTTGTGCCTCTGAATGTCTCATCTCTATCATATTCAGCCTTCTCCCTGCCAACTCTGACTCCACCTTGTAAAATCCTCCTCCTCACAATATTTCCAAAATTCTCCTTTCATTTTCCTAGTGGCACCTGTTTCTGTTGCACCAGAGTTACTGTAGATTGCATTCAGTTCTAGAAATCCATGGCCCATTATTGTAGCGGAGAGAATGCTTGTCTCACAAGTGAGAGGATCCGGATTCGATTCCCAGCAGGGTGAAATTTTGGGCAAGTTTCCTTCCTCCACACCCCTCTGTTTACCCAGCAGTAAGTAGGAACCAGGTTGTTAGTTGATTAGCGGATCGCTTATCCGTGGGTAATAATTCCTTCAAAAAAAATAATAAGTTGGTCACTCAATCCAACTGTTTGTGGGACACAATTGGCTGCCGCACTTCGCCCACAAAATGTACAGCCAATTCACTTTACGGTATATTCTGTGAAGCGCTTTGAGATGTTTCGAAGACATGATAAGGTGCTATATCAAATGCAAGGATTATTATTATTATCTTTATAAATTTCCTCTCCACCAATTTTGGGTACCAATGACATTATCAGATATTCTCAGTCCCCATATAAAGTACTTCACTGACACAGAATATGATGAGCACACATTATATTTGAAAGAACACACATTGTCGTACCTAGAATTAATAAAAAAATGGTCGGTAATTATAATAATAACTAAAAGTATTTTGCCTAAAATTATTTAAGCTATTATTTGGAAATATAAAACCTTCAGTTGTGTCAAACTATGATGAGGCTGTCCATTATTTACATATGTAGGGATGAAAGTCGGTGCTTTTAATTACCATGCTTTTGTCATTGTGTTTTCTGTGTCGCTATTTAAGACCTGGTTTAACAGTTTGTGGGTAGCAGTCGGCCTGAGGCTACTTATTAAATGCTTCATTCAGTGTGAACACTCCTTGAACCAATAAACAACTGCAGTCAGAAAAGGTTAAATGTTCAGCTGAACCCTGCTCCCAAAACACTAATATTTATTTCTACCACCGTATGATAAATGAAACTAAGCTAGAGGATAACAGCAGCTCAATGACACCACAAATTAATGTGCAGCATTAGCACAGAACTAATATGAACGTAAAGTATGCAACAAGAAAAGACCCTTCAGTCTATGAAGCGTGCTGCTGCCAGAGACTAGCCAGTATATAATGGACAATATACGCTGCCTCTACACTTCAATGCCACTGATTAAATCTACACTTCTTTTGGCTTGCCCCAAAAGGTGTTGAACCAAACACCATTGCCACCTCTCCACTTTTCATCCCTCACCAGCTCCCTCCTATTCATCACTGAGCAGTGGATCAGGAATCACCACAACATGAGGAGTGTTTGGCCATTTTATTGTGTGTTTAGGTCTATGATCCCCAATCGCTTTTATCTGATTCTTTTTTGTTATCTAATTAACAAAGCCCACCATTGTTAAAACTCAGCTGCTTGCTTAACACAGATGGCATTTCGCTAGGCATAGCAACTTGTAAGTAAATGTGATCTAGGAAGTATTGGATTATTATTATCCTTGCATCACAAAAATGGCTATGCCCTTCGCATGCGTAACTGAGAAACGCTTCATGTGTTGTCAAACTTCAGGAATGTTATTTTTGTGCTTATATAAACCAAGCATCAGGTTGAAACAGAGAAGGGGGTTTGTTCTGCCAACAAACTGGCTAAAATTAGTCATTCGCTCCACGTGAGACACTGCTTTGCACATTCACCTCCCAATACAGTCACTACAGTTTATAGAACTTCTGTGAAGCTCTTGGAATGTGTTGATGTTATAGGCATTGTATAAAATGTAACAATTATTATTATAACCAGCTTTGTGCTCTCAATCCAAGTAAAAAGGGCATCTACATCAAACATGCCTCTCATCATTACAATAATATATCCTGTGAATTTAGTTTGATACATCCTCTCGACATGAAAGGTGTTGTACCATATGTAGGGATTATTATTATGAACAAAATCATATAGGGTATTGAGAGGGCTTAGAGTTAAATGCAACTTTAGGAGCAACTACAACAACAATGTGCATTTATATAGCACCGTTCACAAAGGACAGTGTCTCAGAGGGCTGCACATTGGCGCGATGGACACCAAGCAAGAGAGAAGGGGAAGGTGACCATAAATGTGGTCAAAGAAGTAAGTCTTATGCTGTGATATAAAGATAGATAGAGGCGATGAGCAGGAGGGATTGAGGCAGGGAGTTCCAGAGGTTAAGGGCTTAACGGCTGAAGGTATTGATGGTGCTGTGGAGGTAATGGGGGACGCTACGCAATCCTATGTCAAACTTCGCTAAAGTACTACCTGGGAAACATATTTAATGAAAAACATAATGCAGAGAAAAATGGTCTGAAAGTTTTTCTCCGTAGAACTGGACAAGTCTCGGACTCTTTTGCACGTTTCCTATGTTTCTCATTCTGTCTTTCTCACCTTCTGTCTTTCTCTTGTTCCCCTTTCTGTTTCACGTTTCTCCTTGAGTTACGAATGAGTTAGGAGCCCCAGGTGTGCAGGTTAAACATTGAGGAATCTCCCACCTAAGGCCCTTCTATGTTAATCTTCTCATTGAGATTGAGGGTATGTTAGGAAAAAGGAATCACTGTGTAATCGACATGTACCTGAGAAAGTGAGAATAAAGGATGTAAAGGAGAAAGGAGATATTGAACAATGATCACTGGCTATTTTCTCCTCTTGAGGTCNAAAAAATACCAATAGTAAATATCGAGATCTTCCATTTTATTTCATACCAGTTTATGTACAACAGACGAATTCCATTAGAATTCCTTCTCTCTGGAGGAAACTCTAATCTCGGTTTGATCAACAATAATTTACTGGGTTAGTGGATTCAGAATCATTGCTTTATTTCCCCCCTTTGAAATTGTAATCCACAGAAAGTCATGCACACAAGAAAGCGTCACTCAGAACTGTACCATGAGCTGAACCAGAAATTCCACACCTTGGAAAGATTTCGAAACCCGGAACCCTCAGGATTTAAGGTGAAGAATAATCATTGCGTATTAAATGGAGATTATAGTGTGCGCTCAACTGCCTGAATTTTCACCATTCAGCCTTTAAGTGGAACAACGGAATCGAATAAATATTTGATCAGGAAGAATATAACAGTATACAATGGCTCGTGGCTTTTTACTGCCCGTAAGTGGATTAAAAGGCAGCAAAGCTAAAATTCCACTCAGACAGTCGATCAACAGATATGCAATCCAGTATGAAAGAATGATGTTGAGTGGTGGGGGGGAGGGGGGTGGGAGTGGGGTAGGGGAGTTCACCTTAATTAACAAGTCTCTTAATGTAGACCACAGATTAGAACCAATGACTTCACATCATAAGTTGGAATGCGAATTGGAAAGTTTGTGTATTTATTACTTAGATTATCCAAGTATTTTAGTTATCCGATTTTCTTTTGGAGTGGTTGAGTGTTTCTGAGCAGTGTGATCTTTCCCAAGTGTATCCACGTCTCTCTATTTGTAACTGGTATTATTTTGTGATTGTGTTTTTGAAGGTCACAGCTTTGCCATCGCTATATTGCGGTGGTCACTTGCAGGAAGTTAAAGCACTGGTCTTCTCATAACTAAGCTGAATAGTATCTGTTCAGCAGATTACCTTGCAAAAAAAATGTTGTGCAATTCTGTATATTTTGTGGAATATTCATTGTTTGTACCCTGCTCACTTTGTCTGAAAATTCTTCTACTCCTATGAGTTTTGTGACTCAATCCCTTCCTCCCGATGATTCATTTTGCTTTGAACGGTCCCATTGTATAACCTGCATTCCACAAATTCCTAGAATTCTGTTCGACACCTGCTAAAAATAAGCAAAATGCATACCTTATTGATGAGCACAGGAGTTGTAGAAACTGATACCTGAGTCTTCACTGTCAAACCCAGGGAGTATTTATTTAGTCCTTGCAGTATGACTCGCATGCTCCATTGCTTAGCAACCCAGAGAGGCAAACCCCAGGCGGATGCGTGTAGCCGTGTGATTCAGAGCAGCCACCTCAGCCGGCGTGCATTGTGCAATTAGGCAAATGCAAGATTTTGTTTCAGTACAGCGCAACATGCCAGCGGATCAGTTTAAAAGCTTTAATGGAATTAAAACATTTTAAATGATGTGTTTCCGTCAATGAAGCTTTGCCCCACTTCTTTGACATGATGGGACATCCCTATTCCTTACGATTCCTGATGTTAGGTGTTTAGCTGTGTTATTTAAGGCATTGATTGCAGACTGTCAGAAAGATATGAACAACTCCCTAGTCACAGTGTGACCATTGTCATTCAGACCAATATGGCTCCTGGATGTAAAAAGTTTATTTTGTCTCTTTCTGCAGCGAGAGAAGAGGTGGAGCATTTCCTCAGCAGGAGCTGAAAAGAGTTCTCCAAATGTAAGTGGAATTGCTACCCCATTCTGCAGTGCTAATCAGCCCTCATTTTAAATATTGTCTTTAATTGTGGGCATAAGCAGCAGGAAGAATACATTAGCCTTGGAGACTGTCCAGCAATGATTAAACAAATTAATACTTGGCATTATCAACCTGTCCACTCCCTCCACTCAGCCTGCTCCATGTCCCCCGCCCGGCCCACCCCACCTTCAGCCTATCTTCCCCCACCTTTTCGAACTCCATCCCACATTCCTTTCGCCTCGACCCTCCCCCTCGACCCCGCCTTCGGCCACCCTCCTACCCTCTCTGACCTCCACCCTCCCTGATCCCAACTCCACCGCCCCCCCCCCCCCCCCCCCCCCCACACTGTCCTGTGCCTGGGGACGTCCTCCTGACATGAAAGGTGCCATACACACGTAATTTAGTATTGTGTCTATTGTGCCTGTGACTCTTCACTACATCTCCCCAGTACATGCAAATTTCTCGGTATTCTGCCCTACATATCCCATATTGAAGCCAACATTAATGTATGTCAACATTGGGTTCAAAGTTACAATAATCCTAAATGCGTGGTTTCATAGCAAAGGGACGAGGTTACACACTAGCCTCGGATCCAGTCACTCAATTTTAGTCATTTCCTTATGTTCTATTCCCAGTAGAAATTCTGCCACAGTGTTTGATAGGCAGCCAATGGCTAACTCAGAAAAGAGTATCTAGATGCCATTTACCTTCCTTGGTCACTCAATACTAATCTACTATTATCCTTCAGGGCTGCATTGCTTCCTTAAATATCTATGAATATGTATTTATAAAGAGCCCTTAGTTCTGTTTTATAATATCTGAAATTTTCATCTTAATTTTTCATTTTGCCCCAGACCAGTTTCTTAAGCTCTCACTGCTTTTCTATTTGATTGTCTCCAATTCTAAACTCTAAAGCTTCCGATCTGAGCCACAAGCTATGCAGAGATTTTTACAAGAGCAAGAGATTTTTACACTTCGAGAGAGATGAAGGTCAGAAAACGTGAGGGACAGAAGGGTAAAATAGAGGATAAAAAAACAACAGAAGGAGAGAAAGGAAAAACCATATGTTAAAAATAAAGCAGAGGAAAGAAGAGAAATTTATTTCAAAATTAAAAGTAAATCACAAGAGGAAAGTGCCTGCGGCAAAATTGAAGGTCCATTAAACACATTTTTTGTCAAATTAATTAATAGGAAAATGATGTTGGTTTGATTGTGAAATGAATGACTTACCTTGTGAAGCATGTATATATCTGCAAAATCATCATAACACAGGACCAGATTCAAGCAGAAAATCAATGTTGCTCTATTCAAAGACCTGGCACAAACTCGATGGGCCAAATGGTCTCTTTTTGTGCTGTACGATTCTATGATTCTATGACGATAGGCTCTGGAACCTTACTCTTCCGAGCAGTTTAATGTCAATTGTTTTAATTGTGAGGTCAAAAGCCACATTGCAGACACTAAATTATTTCAATGCATTCCTGATTCACTAAATAGCGATCCATAGCATCGTACAGTTAGCTAAACTCGGGATTAGACTGTTACCCCTTGTGGCAGGACCATAATAAGAGGGCATTACTACGAACAGATTGACAAGAGAGTTTAGGAGAAACCTCTTTACACGGAGGGAGGTGAGAATTTGGAACACTGTCAGATGATGCGTGATTGAAGCAGAAAGCAGCAGGGTATTGAAGATGAAACTCGATGCATACGTGAGAGAGAAGGGAATGGAGAGAGGTATTGGATGAGGCTAGGGAAGGGGCAAGTTGGATAGGTGGAGGGTCGTGTGAAGCATAACCTAGTTGGGCCAAATTGCCAACATGAAATCGGTGCCAGTGCTGCAAATTCTATTTAATTTGCCACCTTGTGTATGTCTGTGCATTTTAATGTATTATATGTCCTAATAAAAAGATTTAGTTGGAAATATTCTGTCAACAGGAACAATCTGCACCAGAAGAGCAGACTTGGGACAGTTTGAAAACTGCACCTATCAGCACGCTTAATTCAGACCCACAGGAAAATTTAGAACTGCATTCCACAAACTGGGAAAAATCTGCTACAATCCCTTTGGATACATCTGAAGGAGACTTTCAAACAGAAGTTTAAATGCAGTTTCAGAAGTTTAAAAAAAACTTGAAAAAAACCTAGGAATATATATTTTCACACTGACGCTTTGAGAATATTTTTTTGTGTTGAAGTCCTGATTATTCTTTGAATTGCTGCGATGATCTTCTTACATCAGTCAAGCAGCGGGATTCTCCTATCCTCTTATCTTCAACCTTCTCACTCCCATTGGGAATTGAGAACACAGGGTAACACAATCTGCAAACCACATGCCCAATCTATACTCCAGATTGTTTCTATTTTATGATTTTCTTTATGGTGTGTGTGTGTGTGTGTGTGTGTGTGTGGAAATGCAACACCAAACCTGAAAGAATTAAGCCACTAATCTTCTTGTGGGCAAAAAAAAATTGTCAAGCCAAACTTCTTTCCAATCATCTATAGCAGAAAAGCCTTGTCTGCAGATATTGAAATAACTGTAAAATCTGGTGTATGTGTAACCCAGTTCCTCTCTTGCTAAAGGAGGGGGTGGTGATTTACACATGGTTGTGATTTAGAATTTGGATTTTACAACGGCTCTCTCATTGCCAGCTGTTCCTTGCTCTCTTCCTGTGCTGGTTATACCCTACAATCTGGTTGGCACCATTGAGCCAAGTGGCAGCTTTCTTGTAAATGAACGTGAATTCACACTGGAGCTCGTCCCTCGGTGGGCGAGACAGAATTAGTAACTGAGTAACGTAACAATTGAGAAGTTAGTCTTTTATGTAGAATCACTTTGTTCTTTTGTAATTCACTTCCTGGACCTGGGTGGCTCCATCCTTTTCTCTCAGCTGCCGAGCTCACTTCTTTTTAATAAATTCTGATTCCTTTTTCACACAAATTTGTGACTTTCGAAACAGTCACATTTGTCAAGTACCAATCGAGACTGACTGAACTGCATGACTCGATTTGTCCTTTCGTTATGGTTTCAAATACTTTTATTGCAGAAATAAAACACAAAACAATGTTTCTGGAGATCAGAAGAGAGTTTCCAGATGGGAATGTGAATTTTTTTAATGCAATAAACCCAAGTTGCCCAACAACTGGAATAGTGTTCATTGCTTTTTAGAGAGGAAATAAAACGTTTGTTTGTGGAAACACAGTGCATGTTTGCACATGTGTCAGGCTGGAGCAGTGGTAGCACTCTCGACTCTCACGTCGGGACTTGAAATCACATAGTCTAAGCTGATACTCCAATGCAGCACTGGGGGTGTGTCGCATAATCCGAGGTGCTGTCCTTCAGATGAGGCATTAAACCGAGGTCCAATCTACCTGTTCAGGTTGATGTTAAAGATCCCATGGCGCTATTCGAAAAGCGAAGAGCTTCTGGCCAACAATCCCCCAAAATAAAATTGGTCATTCATTCCATGACTGTTTGTGGGACATTGCTGTGCGCAACTGGCTGCCGTGTTTTGCTCACAACATACACAGTGTAATCCACTTTACCGTATATCTTGCGAATCACTTTGAGATCTTCTCAATGTCGTGAGAAGGCATTCTACCAAAATACAAAGATTTTATTACAGAGTTTGGTCCGTCTGAGTATCATTTTTATGGTTCAAAAAGAATCGGTTTCCCTTTTAATTGCCCTGATGGTGTTATCCTAAGCAAGCTGCACACAGTTCCATCCCAGCACCATTGCAGTCAGAGACATTTGGAGTTGTGGGTGTGTAGAATCAAATGCCTATGGACGATTTATTTTGTCCTTGTTGGCTACATAGCAGTGGCCATACATTCTCTCGAGTACTTGATAGAAGAACCTCTTTTACGGCTTAACACATGTACATTGCTCTAATTGTTTGTAAGAATTTAAGTGAGTCCCACAGCCACGCCCAGGTATTTTTATTTAGTTTGAGTTAACCGGCTTTTCATCTGGTTGAACTCGATTGTGAAATTGTATTTCCTCCCCCCCCCCGAATCACCTCCAACCAGAATCGAAGTGGCGTGTATGCACAACTACTGTCTTTGTATGACCAAATGTTTGGATTGATCTGGCTTGCTCTCTTTACCAAGTTAAGTGGACGTGAAATGCACAAGCTTTACAGGGCCTGATGTGTGTAAACTCATTGAATTCTGAGTGAGAGTTTTCAGACAAGTGAATCATCAATTCATGAAAGCAATCGTACCTGGCCCAATGAAATTGTGCCCCATTTTGAGGAGGTTATTAATTATTATTTACATGAAGCATTTTAACTCAGTGCTGTTCAGTTATTTTCTCCTCGCTCACAGAGCTAAACTTGTTGATTTTTTTTCCATTGAGGAGTTTAACATTAGCAGGGTTAACCGGTTATTTTAGCTGCTGGATTCTTGACAATCATCGTCACATGTGGGTTAGTGGTATGAATTCACAAACTGTGCTTTGATCAGCTTTGTAGCAGACAGCACTTACAAGAAACTTTTCAATGAATGTGTCTTCAGCTCGGACCTGCAAGATGGAAGGAAATAATTTTGTGGCAACTCTGGGATCCACACCATCTTTAATTAACAATGCACATGTACAGAAGTGTACCAGAAACAAATCAGTTTGGGCTCGGCCTGGGTATTTATACTGTATAAAAAAATGCAATGTTTATTGAATCAGTTTGCTCCGCTGTAGTTGAAAGTTCTTGATATTTTTCAGTCTCCACATTCACATGATTTGTTCACAAAAACCTCACTCCTGATAATCAGTGATTGACAATAATGTAATTTTGTAAAGCAGTTGAATCTGGATAAACACAGAGTTAATGTTCCAGGTATTTAATGAAAACGGATTTGTAATAAATTCCAGGGATGGTTTTATTTAATTTAATTTGAAATCAATAAAAGATACTAAATATTAAAAATATTTTTTATGATTCAATTCTGCAAAGGATTCAGGTAGAATCCTCTAAAGCTACTTGGGTTGCCTCGCTCCATTTGCTCCCTGGTTCCATAGTCTTCAGTCTCTTCATTTTCATGAGATAATTAAGAAACAATGATTGCCAACAATGCAGATTCAAATCTCAACTCTCAATCTTTCAGTATCCAATGCCAGGGTCTGGGAAGCAAACGCATTTTATAAACAATGATACTTCTAACAATCTTGCCGATATTGTACCATTCCTTTAATCAATCATTCACTCGATCAATCTCAACAGAAGCGGAAACCCTCAACACAACACATTTTGTACGAAGTGTTTGGATTTCTAAAATGTGCCATTTCCTGGACTTGAAATTCAGCCATGAACTGAATACTGTAAATCAGACAGAGCCCAATTAATGCCATTGGAAATCTGATCCATTCAGCTTCATTCGTTGGAGACCTTTATAATGGTGAACTGCAATGGGAAGGGGTTGGACCCAATGGTGCATTGGTTTTCTAGTATTAGACCTGAAGTGTTTATCTAGAATTGACTGGAGGCATAATTGATGGTTGTGATGGAACAATGGTTTAAGAAATAAGCGTATATATATATATATATTGTCACTTTCTCCTTTATAAAAAATAAAAATTTTGTATGAAATGTTACTAGTGCAGTTTTTCAAGATAGTAATATTGAACGTTTGGACTTTGTGAGCCCTGTTTAAGAATTCCAGCAGCATTACCCGATTATAACTAGGGTTGCTATGTTCAAATTTTATCTTTTGAGATGTTTGGCAGATAATAAGGTGGTGTATTTTTACTTTGTTTTTTGAATTGGCAACTCTTTTTGACTATAAAAATGGTTGGCCTCTGGTCATGAATTTGTATCAATGGCAAGTCCTGGATGGAGGTAACCTTAAAGCCCAGAAGTCAGCCATTTTTCCAGTTCAAAATAATGAAAAACATAAAATTTATATATATATATATTTTAACTAAGGTAATCGATTTTTTTCACTTTGGAGAAAATTGGAAGACCTGACCAAAACTGATTTTTGCCATTTAAAATCAGAAACCAGCTAGCCGAGATATAATACATTGCATCATCTCAGTTTTACTAATTTCTGAAGGTGTTGATGATTGTTAGCACTAAAACCAGCGTGGAAGCGAGCATTTTAAATCAGGGAAAGGATGACTTAGATACTCCCACGGTTTTAACAGGAGAAAAAATTTGATGTGAGCCCCCAGGCATTACACCTACCAACAAAATGGACCTATTTATTTTCTGCATGTCATGCATTATATTAACAGATAATTTAATGCATGGAAAAATATAATGAATAACATATATTTGGGACCTCAAAACATCCCGCAGTCACATCTCACCCTTAACTACTATCCACTCAGTGTGAAAATACTACATTAATGCAATGCATTAAGCAAGGTTGTTGATTTCCATTGAGGAATGTGGTGTTTCATAACTGCTGTCATATTATTCTTCCGAATTTGCGCTTCAATTATTACAATGCAGGTTAGATAGAATAAAGGGAGATTTTAATTTGAATGTAGCTCTGACTGATGGATGAAAGTCTCTTCTTGCTAGCTGCAAGGAACTTGTATAAAATTAACCTGACATATGGTGAACATGAGTTCTCAATCTCGTAACGTTGTATAATTCCCAAGTAACATTCAGATTGAGTCCACATTGACGATATTGGAATGCGATTGGGCAACACTGAGATTAGGTTTATGACCAAAAGTGTACTGGGGGAACTTCGCCCAGATACAGACTCTGCAATGCTTGATCTAGGAGCTTTGCTTTGTATCTCACTTATGTTATCGTTGACCTGAGCTGGTGGACAGTGCAAATGAAGATTTACTCTATATCTAACCTGTGCTATATTGACCTGGGATTGCAGGATGTGACAGTTTATAGGGATCTTGAATCTAATCTGTCCTGTACCTGCCCAGGATGTGTTTTGTGCCAAGTGTAAACGTTCCATTCCTCACCACTGGCATAACTTTCCTGAATAAGAACAAATAAGTGATATAAATGTAGCTACATTGAACTATCATTTGTGGGAATGACCTTTATCAGCCACTCATTGTGGGTTAATAATGTGTATATAACAACAGTCTTGCTTATTTTTACACAAAATATAACAGTAATAAAATTTGCATTTGATACAATGCTATTCAGAGCAGAACAACATTTCAAAGTGTTTCACAGGATTTACTGAATCATCCTAGTAAATCTCTGCACCCCCACTATTGCTTTGACAACTTTCTTAGTGGGGTGACCCAAACTGGAGACAATAACACCTGCATCTAACTAACAATTTCTGTAAGTTTAGCATTATCTCTTTGGTTTTATATTCTATACTACTATGTATAAACCATTTGCTTCCTTGACAGCTTTGTCCACTTGTCTTTCCACCTTTAAGGATTGGTGAGTTAACTGCTAGGTCCCTCTGCTCTTATACTCCTTTTAACATTTTACCACCTAACATATACGTGATCTCCTTATTCTTCTTCCCAAAATGTATAACCTCACACATGTCTGCATTAAATTTCACTTCCCATTTCTCTGCCTAATCAACTAATCTGTCCATATCTCCCTGATGCTGCTTACAATCTTCTTTGCTGTCAGCTACAGTCCCTGTTTTTTATTTTAATATACCTGGGATCCTGATTGGAGCAAGACCCCAAAGCAGCTGCAACACTCAGAATCGAACCTGTACCTAGACTGTATTCAATGGAACAGAGTTACATTGAATACAAGACACCAAAAATCTATATTAAAACGATTGCTTCTATGAGATGCAAGAGTACAGACCTTGGATCCTCTTCCACCTCCCCTCCCTCTCACCCCCACAGCTTTTGCAACTCGCCAGAACTGCAGTGTATATCAGCAGCTGGTTTATGGAGATGTTCTGATTCGAAACCACCATTCTAAACCCTTAGGATTTACTTCTATACTGTTTATTTTATTTAAGCAAGAGTTGGACAAGACTCACAAATCTTCCCGAATTGTGGCTCATTGCAAGCGACTGATTGCTACATGGAGAATTTTTACATGCAGTGTTTCTGTGCAGCCAGCTCGTGTAATTACTGAGCAGTGGGAACTTTCTTCAGCAGAGACTTGGTTAGGGATTCGGGATTATATGGTTTGGAGCACTGTGGGTCTGTGCACAAATTCTGGCAGCTAGTGAGGTGTTGCCCTCTTAATAAGAATCTATCCTCAGGCTATTCACACTCATTACAACAGTCCCAAGGAGTTTGCTAATTGAGGTTAAATAAATGCAA